TTAGCATATTCTTGACTACATGTATACACAAATTTCGAAGAATATAATTAAAGTGTAGTGTCAGAATCGAAAAAATAAGGAAAACCTATGAATTTGACCTAGATTTTGACCTAGGCATTTCGGTGTCCAAATTGTGAAGCTAGATGGCTTTTGAGGTCCCCTTCCTTTAAAGGCTTTGATTATATGAAGCTGAACTCAGTCTATATTCCGTATTTTTCACTTCAAAAAAATATTTTTTCCCATTGACTTAACATGGGCACCAAATTTAGCGATTTTTGAGCTTTTAAAACGACATAACTTCCGAACCGGGAGTCGGATCGAAATTTGGTTTGCAGATTCAGATTCCTGACAAAATTTTACCCTTAATTCATAACTCATACCCTGAATTTGGAGAATTTTTATTTTGACCTACTTTCTGGACGCCATATTTCAAAATCGGTAAGAGTAATTAAAAAAAAACAGTGACACTTATGAAAGGGCTTTTTCTAAGCTACATGATGAAAAAAAGACAAAGACATTTCGATAAATAACGACGAAGATAATTGATAGAATGATGAAAATGTAAGATTTGACCTAGTTCTTGACCTTTGACCTAGATAAAAAATTGACCCAATTTCCGAGAAACTAGATACTGGACCTAAATTGACCATATACAGGACTTGACTCAATGTCTTCTAGTTAAGGAGAAAACGTGTTAAGAAAAATAACTAGATTTTGGAAATTGAACAAAGTTCAATTTCAGACTCCAGATCTAGACTTTTTTTAGCCGAGTCATCCAGAATAAGCCGAGTCATCCAGAATAAGCTGAGTCATCTACAAAGAGATGGATAAATAAAATAGGAAGGTGGGATAGGATAGAATAGGAAAGAACGATAGGATAGAATAAGAAAGAAGGATAGGATAGAATAGAATAGGAAGAAAGGATAGGTTAGGATAGGAAGGATAGGAAGGAAAAGATACGAAGAAAGGATAGAAAAGATACGAAGAAAGGATAGAAAGGAAGGATAGGATAAGATCAGATAGGAAGGATGGATGAATTTTTCAACATTTTCTTCTCTACTCTTGACTTTCTATCAGGATACCATCAGATCGATTTTCCGAAATTTCAAAACGCCATAACTTCCGAACCGGAAGTCGGATCGAAATTCGATTGAAAGATTCGGATTCCTGACAAAATTCTACCCCTAATTCATAACAAATACGTTAAATTTGGAGCTTTTTTATTTTGACCTACTTTTCGGACACGCCATAACTTCCGAACCGGAAGTCGGATCGAAATTTGGTTTGCAGATTCGGATTCCTGACAGAATTCTACCTTAAATTCATAACTCATATATTAAATTTGGAGAACTTTTTATTTTGACCTACTTTTCGGACACCATATCTCAAAAGTGGGTCAAAATACTTTCTGACGGCAAAAGTCTAACACTATAAGCATATTCTTGGCTACATGTATACACAATTTCGAAGAATATAATTAGAGTGTAGTGTCAAAATCGAAAAAATAAGGAAAACCTATGAATTTGACCTAGATTTTGACCTAGGCATTTCGGTGTCCAAATTTTAAAGCTAGATGGCTTTTAAGGTCCCCTTCTATTAAAGGCTTTGATTATATGAAGCTGAACTCAGTCATTTTTCCGTATTTTTCACTTCAAAAAAATATTTTTTCCCATTGACTTAACATGGGCACCAAATTTAGCGATTTTTGAGTTTTCAAAACGCCATAACTTCCGAACCGGAAGTCGGATCGAAATTTCGTTTTCAGATTCGGAATTCTGAGAAAATTTCCTATAAGATTAATATCCTGGACATTTGATTCGGGGAACTTTTTTTTGGACCTCGTTTTCGGACACGGATATTTCGAAATCGGTTTGAGATATCAAAAAACTAAATCGACCCTAGATTTCCTACTTTTTTATGAGGAACACAATAAAAAAAACCCGGATCGAAAATACTGAAGGACGACTGAGAAAATCGAAAAAAGTGACAAAGTACTGGATTTGACCCAGTTCCTGACCTTTGACCTAGATAAAAATTTGACCCAATTTCCGAGGAACTAGATTCTGGACCTAAATTGACCAAATGACTGACTTTACTGAAAACCTTACGGTTATTGAGAAAACGTGCTTAGAATAATAATAATAAGAAGAAAAAGAATAATAAGAAAACTGACGAAAACAATAGACTCCAGATTTCATCTGGAGTCTAATAAGAATACAGGCAAAAGCAATAGACTCCAGATTTTCAATCTGGAGTCTAATAATAAAAAAGAAAGATATACGAAGCAGTGAAACCAAGTGCCGAGAACATACTACCGTGAAGATCGTCATGGTTCCAGACAAAATATGACATAATATTTTGCAGCTATTTCTTCAGGATCCCAGTTGACTTACTTACTTACGTCAAAAGTTAATTAACAAGTCACTTCTATGTGGGCTTCCTGTTACCTAACCATGACAGAAAGTTCTGAGCTTCTAAAATTGTAAATTTTCATATGAATTCTATAAAATATTGTGCACAATAAGTACTTCAAAAAGTATATGTCTTTCTATTCTTTTTTGCATCAAGTTTTTATGTATTTTCTCAACAGTTTTGCCCTAAATTATATGATAAGAATGTGAACACAGAACTTTCCATGGTTTTCCACTCATTAATACGCTGTTACCGAACCCTCTCAGAAACAAGATGGCTAAAGTTCAGGCTTCATTTTTAACCCGTTCTGTTTACGTAATAATAGTGAGTATCGATAATTCTGTCGTCTTCTGAACTACAATTTCACATGAAAATAATAAAATCTCTACTCTTGAGAAGCTATCATGCAAGACTTTTTGAACGACCCTTGTATATGTTCAGAAATGTAATGTGTAGACTTTCTCAAACATATGATACTGACACATCTTTGTGATAAAAATGTGATGAAGATTCTGCCTACAACTTGTGAGATAAGGAAAAAAGAAAAACCGTAACTTCAAGGTTCTGACAATTTGTTCCATTTCAGTAACTAGTTTGAAGAGTTCCTCCACAGTGACTCTCAAATCAAGCAAAAATCTCACCAGAAAATACAAAGTTCATTATGACACATGGAGGACACTGACCCAGAGAAAGACGATGAACAAGAATAAATGCTTGTTTTGTTGTTGGCTAGGTAACATATTGATGAAGTCACATATTAATTTAGAATCAAGTGACATGTGATATTTAGATTTTTTGTTTGTTTAGTTGTTGATGGGGCAATATGTGTCTGCTCTCATAGTTGATGCAATACACTATAAATTTGAATTACAGTCACATCCTAAGACAACTTGACCGTTGCCTGACATATAAGCTAACCATAAGCTCACTATGTGAGCCAAAAAAGGCGAGGCTTGCGGAACCAGAACTGGAAGTCGCGTGAATGGTCCAAACCCAATCCATAAGAATGTTCCACCCTTCATATACAGGGTGTCCGGAAAGTAAAGATACAAGTGCTCTTATTTTAAGAGATTTGGGTCTTTTGAAATTAAACTGCTACGGATTGTAGAGAATGTTTATTACAATATATCTACCAACTTTCATCACATATAGTCTTAACGTGTTCAAGTTACGGTTGTTATGGTTACGGCTGTGAGGGGTATGCAGAGCAGTTCCAGAACATCGCTAAAATGTCAAAAATTGCTAAAATACAACTATCCGAAACAGTGTTTTTTGTTGTATTTTCTATTAATGTTTTGCTTTGTTTGTTGTTTGTATTATTACTGCCATAGCTTTTTCTTTTATATAATGATGTCATTGTTACATATCAGAACTATTTTATGTCACTAACCAGTATAATCAAAGAAATATCATACACTAAGTGCTTAGAAAATTCAGTCTCAGGATTAGTTGTAAAGTCAGTAGTGCATATAATACACCAATTCACAAAGCAAAGAAAACATTTCTTACAAACGATTGTCTTGACATTAAACCTTTCTATACCATGCCCAATATTCACCTGATAGAGCCTTTTTTCTACCCAATGACCATCTGAAAGCAATATTTGTAAGAAGTTCAACATACAAAATAAGTCTCGGTTGGAAGTCAATGTTATCAGCAATTTGAGAGACGGGTAGCAATGATTTTGTCAAGTCTTTTAATCGCCGGTCAAGATGCACCAAAAATGTTTAGATATGGGGAAAATATTGAATATTAAATGATAGTAGTTATATGAAGAGATCAAATAATGTTACAATACTAATCCTTTTGCTGTTGTAGCACATAATTTGATGTAATATAGGAATAGATGGTAGAATGCTAAGATGTTATGAGCAGGAAAGAGATTTGTAAAACACATTTGTGACGTTGCTCCACATACCCTCGACTCCTGTTACCATAACGACCATAACTTTTTCATTTTAAAAGCAAAAGTTATGACCGTTGCAGGATATATTGCAATTATGCCATTCTACATTCTGGAGCAATTTCATCTCATATCAGGTAAATCTCTTAAAATGAGAGCATTTGTATCTTTACTTTCTGGACATCATGTAAATATGATGAAAATTTGGAAAAATAACATCCCCCTAACTATATAGAATATAGTTAATTATCTGACATCGATACTTTACATTGGTCCCTTTTTACTCATTGTCCTTTGTTTCATTTCTTTTCTGACTTCTGATAATAAGGGAATCTAATTGTACTAATTGACATTCTCTGATATATATGTCCAAACAATTATATATTTTCACTTCACAATAAAGAATTTGAAACAGAAAATCCAAGTTTGCCTCAAAAGTTATACAGTATGCCCAAAAACGAATCTATTTTAGTTTTTCATTCCAGAAAAAGCTCCAGAAAATTTCAAATCAATTCCTCGAATGGACAAGTTTTAGGCTAAATTCAAAATCAGTTGAAAGTTTCATGGTGTTGAAGAGTCAAAGTGTCATGTAAGAATGTTGAAAGCCTTTTTGGTGGCCCATGATAAAAAATATGGGCACTTTTCTACTATTAATGAGCTACAAGGGCAATTGTAATTTACTCACCATGATGTAATAGGTCTGGTGAGGTGTTGTGTGATGTAACGTTACAACTAGAAAGTTGCAGAGTCAGCATTTCTGTATATTCTTCTTCTAGCCAGTCCTCCACCATACATAGCTGAGGATAGTGACTAGCTAGCAGTCTGAAATATAAATATTCTACTTATTACGAATATTAAATTTTTTCTTCAACAAATTAAATCATATAAAATAAATATTCTGCTAATTAATTTTCACTCTGTGAGGCCAACTTGTTTTTGAGAAAGATCTGCTCTTAATTACTTTTGAAGACAAGTAAAAAAAGGACAATAATCTTTAAAAACAAGTACAAAAGTGCATAATACTGTAGGTGCCCATAAATGGGTGATCCCATATGGACTTTTCATCCTGAATGCCAAACAGTAATCAGTTTAAGAGGCGAGATTTTAGTTTTTCTTATACTTTCATTCCAAGAAAAATCCCTAAAAACATGAGTAGCTTAAGCATACTATAAGGGGCGGGGTCAAAATATCGATGTTCATATGGAGACGAAAGTACTTTCGCGAGGGGGGGAGGGGGTTGTTGGGCACTTTCGTTGACCAAAAAAACATCGATAATTCGGATCTGATATACAAAAAATAATTGGACTTACCCACTTTTTCTGGCGCTATGTTCTGATAAAAAGGCTTGTTTTCAATAGTTCGTGAGCTTTTTTGTGTGATAGGTCCAAAATATCGGTAGATAAAGACGATAATTCAATCATTTTCAAATAAATTCCGTACTTTTCCCTCCTCCTTTTGAAGAGTTCAATGCAGTTAAATTGCGAACGTGTGTTAATTCACCGTAATAATAACCCGGCAAATAGGATACGATTATGCCAATGTTTTTTTGAAGTGACCTAAGCTTTCGTCTAGAGAGGGGGTGGGGGGGTTGTTGTCCAAACGAAATTACTTTCGTCTCCATATGAACATTGATATTTTGACCCCGCCCCTAAGACAAACCTTAGTATAGGTGAAAAGAGTCCAGCATATTGTTGTTGGTCTCTTTGAGCCTTTTGGAGTAAGTACTTCATAGGGATCTGTGACAATAGACTTGGGGAGTATTGATGGACCTGCCTCTTCTGGGAAACTACAAGAAAAGAAAAATGAAATGAAGGAAAAGGGGTTGAACATGATTCATAAAGTCCCCTTCCACGAAAAATAATATACATTGAGGTATTAATATACAAAATGTCACTACCTGCCATTTTTAAAGACAGCAACTGCCGAACACTGTTACAGACACCAAGTGCCGAACACTGTTACAGACACCTAACAGTGCAAACTTTGGAGACTAACAATATGTCATTAACTCACCATTTTTGGTGGTGACATAATAATGGGTCCTCTAAATAATGAAGTTTGAAACTTGTATTAGTCTATCTCAGCTTACCTCGCATATCTGTTATGATGTTTAAGATGTACCTGTGATATTGACTTGATTATAAGAAAAGGTCTAATTAATCAATATATTAACTTACCAATGGTCTTCATATTATTAATTCTTGTGTCTTCATATTGGAGAAGGTAGAATAGCAAAAGAATCTGCGTCGTAAACTGTGAACCATATTCCCCAACCTGAGGCCATTCATCCACGCTAAAACTTCGACTTTTGCGGAAATGGTCTCCTGTCAATTTTGAATGTTTGACAAGCACAGAATCTTGAAAAACTGTCATTATCTCTTTCTGTGTGATTGGGCTATTTGTGTGGTCAGACTTGTTGCTAGGTGATATGATTGAGTTGACATATACATTGATGAGAGGTGGGAGGAGAGGGTGAATAGGCGTGGTGGAGCTACAAAGCTGTTTAAAGATCCAATCCTGAAAGTAAAAATACATTGATTCTAGAGAACACAATGACAGCACATCAGAACGAAATTGTCCTTCAGTTATATGAGTGTAAATTATATCTCATTCCAGAATATGCCCAAAAACTAATCACATTTTGGAGCATTTCTTTCTGGACATCTGAAGTCAGAAATTGTAATAGGAAATGCACAAGAATTCAGAGAACCTAGTAGATGAACTTAAAAATGGCCCTTCTAGCTTGCAAAAATACTTTGCCTGGAAACACTTTCTTTTGATTGACTGATAATAGAATTCAAGTTGGCCACCCTAAATAACCCAGCATGCCAAAACACCTATCAGGTTGAATTTTCTACAGATCTTTTTCCACGGATAGTGGGAGGTCCTCCATCTAGGAGGTATACGACAAATAATATAAGTAGTATATGGAGGACTTCCCATAACCGTGTCTTTTTCTTTTTCTTATGAAAAGTCATGTTTGAAATACAGGTTCCAACCCCAAAATGTGGTATTTAAACTTTAAATAAAATGTTAATTCTTATTCAAATTTTTGTATACCTTTATTTGCACTTTATGCTTGGAAAATGCACGGCTCTTGAGCAGTTGATAAATACAATGTATGGGCAGATACCCAGTCATGTTGGCGTTAAGATTGGCTGTAACTGGGACACGTACAGCATGTGTTGTTACAACTTGCTCATTGAAGATTTCCTGGGTGAAAATAGTCTTCATCCTTGACAAGGTATTTGTCTTTACAGCACTCTGGAAGAAAACATTTTGAATTATCTTATAGAGAAATAAATAAATAAATTAAACAGAGATGAATTTGAAGCACTAGTAAAACGTGACACTATGCTATAGCAAAGGAGCAATGATTTGACTAGGGTTCCGCGTTGTTTATTCCTTTGCAGGCACACCTGGATTCTACACAAAAAATGCCAACCACCTTTTGTAACATAATTTTGTAAACAAGTTATGAGGATTCATTGTGTTTGATCTGGATATATAACAGGTTAACCTTCGCAGTTGTGGCTTGCTTCTTAAAAGATAGCTTCATCTCATTTACTAGCCCTGGGTTACAGGGTAATAAAAATAAAAATCTCCATCAAATGAACCGATCATTGCGTCTCCAAAAGCATTTTTTAAAAGAACACTAAAACATTGACATTTCTTGCCATCCTGATCATAAATGATTCATCTTGGCTATATGATGCATAAGCATTCATGTCAACATTTTATTTTACTGTATCACAAAGATAGAAGAACCTAAAAGCTTGCTCTCCATTTTCTCAAATATGGTACAAGTGAACACAGAACCTTTTAATAGTGGAGGGTAATACTAATTCAAAAGAGAATACAAAATCATTGCCAATATAGAGTGCTAATTATAACCATATTTTATGTCTTGAATATGTTAAAATATAGAAGCTTGCAAATACCTTCATTCCTAAAGTTTGACTGACTAATTCCACTATAGCAGAAGTCTGGTTGCTATGGAAATGGATGGCAATTAGGAGTAACATTTCCCCATATGATCCGCTTGATCCTTTAGTGCTGAAAATATAGAAAAGGAAAAATTTAGAGAGAAATGACATAATACAAGGCATTAACAATTAGCATGCAAAATGTCGCCACCTGCCATTTGCTACAGATATCATTTGTAACAGACGCCATCTGTAAAAGACACCATTTCATGATATGATTATTATTCAAAGTATGGTATTTCACATCATCTATGACATCAGACCTCGCATCGCCCTAACAGCAACTATACAAACAAATCTTAACGTCACAGTCACTTATTCTAAATCAATATGTGACATCATTAATATGTTACCTAACCTACAACAAAAATAGCATTTTATAACTATGACATCTCAAAAAAATCATCATGGGTGATAATATTGTAGAGCAAACTGAAAAAATCAATTTCCTTGGTGCAACTATTGATGACAGACTGAATTGGAAGCATCATATTCATATACTTGAAAATAAATTATCAAAAACTATCGGGAGATTGCACAAAAACCCTCTATTACTCCTGGATTTATTCCAATTTTAATATAAAATATGGGAAGTGTCCCTGGAACTCTATCAAATAAGCTTCAGTCAATTCAAAAACAATTTGTATGTATGCTCAGCAAATCTAATTACTACAGAGATCCCAACCAACCAAATTTATTGAACACAAATTGCTAAATATTCATCAAATTTCATCCTCCATATGCAGGGCTTAAAATCCAGCATATTTCTTTCTTTTTACAGGAAGAAGGAGGTGCGGATTCTGGACACTTGCTTACTATGAGGATGATCAAATTGTAAAATTGAGAATTGATTTATTTGTTTTCAAATACATGTGTAAAAACAGTAATGGTGACTCGATGAATGAACTTTATTCTTCTTACTTTACAACCACTTATTTCATCCATGACCGCGACACAAGAAACAAATTTGACCTGAGAGGCCCAAAATTCAATCTTCGCCAATTAGCCTACAAGGCAAAATCATCTGGAATTTAATCCCAGATGATCATTAAACTAAGAAAAATCATTCAAATCAAAATATGTTTTTCATCTTTTAACTCAGCCAAAACCGAAAGCTTGATTATTATTACAATAATATTCCATATCACCATTCCAATAGGCATTTTCTGGCACTTGACGTTCAACAATTCTTATCTTTGGTTTTATCATTTGTATGCACACTAACTGTTTCAGGGAATGGGGACCACAGCTACACCAGCTGTTTATGGGGAGCTATATCTATGGGGAGTTAGTGAGCTATATCCACTGATATTGTCAAATTACCCCGATATACCCCGCTTACCTCATTTTGATATTAGATTTCTTTAATAACCATGACGTCATGTTTTATTTCAAACGAATTCTTCTCGCATACAGATGTGTGACGTCATTGATACAAAGTAGACGTGGGAACAAAGGTATGTATTACATCAGTTATCTCACTATGACCTGAAATATACCTTCGTTCTTGCCCAAATATAGAGCCTCCCAAGGTCAGCCTATATTGGGAGAACTCAGGCATATTTCACGTAATGGTGACATAATCTTTTATGACGCATGTATTATGGAAAACAGACTAAGTAGGCCATACTACATCTTTACTTTTTCAATAGAACAAAATAATTACAATTAAATTAACTGTGCCATTGTATGTTGATTCTCCCATCCAGGCATTATCACTTGCAGAAAAAGTAAAAGAACTAATAGAAACCGTTCAATATATACACTGAATCTGATTGGTTCATTTCTTTTGAGGATTCATTAACAAGAATTTTTTCTTGCCTAAAGGGTATATAAAGTCTTGAACATTATCATTTACATCATATTCAAATCTATAAAGCTGTAGTAAGAACTTGAAAGATTCAAAGCAAAGCAAGAAGAAAAACTGAACAAAAATGGTCCACTACGATGTTACGCTATTTGGAGCTGGAAAGACAGGGAAATCATCCTTGATAAAGCAAATAACAAAGGGTGCCTTCAACATAAATTACACGGCGACAGTGCAGGAGAACTTCCGACACTTAGTCCAGCTGCCTGGTGGTAAAAGTAAATCTATTGAGATTCTGGACACAGCCGGATCTTTCAGCTTTCCTGCCATGCGAGAAGTTTACATTCGATCCAGCGATTCATTCCTCATCGTAATCGCTCTTGATGACAAAGACTCACTTGAATACGCAATAAACATGAAGAAAGAAATTGTTGCAATAAAAGGTAATAATTTGTAATTGTACTTCATCAGTTTTAGTGCAAAATTTAAAAATCTCATAATAGCATGAAAAAGTTGATTAAAACAATGTAAATCATGAATAAAACAAACAGTCGAATTGTGTCTTAATTATCTCCCTTATTTCTTCAGGTGACTCCATTCCAATGCTTTTGGTTGGAAACAAAGATGATGCCGCAAAACGTGAAATCTCTCCAGAACTTGCCGCAGCTACAGCCAAAGAACATTTTGGTTCTGCGTATATTGAAACTAGCGCTAAGACGGGCAGAAACTGTCAACAAATGTTGGTTAGAATCTGTACAGGTGACTTAAAGCAAAATGCGATGATGGAAGTAGTGAAAAAACAAGGATCATTAAAGAAAATTACTCGAAAATCTTCAAAAAAAACGTTCAGAATCTACACTAAGTGATCCATTATCTGGTATGAAGAAACAATTAAACACTTTTACAGAGGAACAAGGCCATAGTACAGCAGAAATTATTGACTGTAATATAAAAAGTGTCACAAAATCTAAGCCTGGACTAATTAGAAGTTTTTCACAAAGACTTTTTAAAAGATTACGCCGCTCTAGCAGTGATTCAAGTAATAACACAGACTCTGAAACATATTCTGAAGATTCCAATGATTCCGGCATTAGCACATCTTCTAAGACAACTGTTACTGTATGCTATACTATAAAATATACAACAGATAATAAATGTGTAAAGTAAAATCTATTCCATTGTTTTTGGTTTATTCTATGGGCTTATGCATTATAACGAAATAAGGTATGTTTACCGAAGCTCAGTTTTTTTACTACAGCATAGCAGTATGAATTTTGCTACTACTATAAGTAACTAATAGGGCACAAAACAATAATTAGTTGATTACATAACTAAGATAATCATGGTTACATATTGATAGGTTTTGATGTTTATATATATCTATCTTTTATTGACTCTTTAGATGTCATGGCATGACATAATAGTCGGTACAAAAATAAGTCTAATAGCACTACCCTACAGTATACTAAACTACACTGCACTATCATTATACAAAACAGTATATACAAGATGTGTTTCTTACATATACAGATCTTTCAATGAGTATAGCTAAGTTGTATAACTAACCTGAAAAAGTTGTTGATAAAAAAAGTGATTGCTATAGCAACTTGGACACTGGTTCAGCAGAGCAATTTCTTTATTCAATATAAATGTAATTGAGCAAGATTTGATTAAGTGCCAATGAGAAAATACCCAAAATGGTAACAGAACAAAGCAAGGAAATGAAAACATATAAGAGCACACCACCAATTGTTAAGGAAAATAAACTCTAACTATCCCGAATCATAATCTAATCTGAAAAGAAACAGTGTCTTATACCCCCTCCCCACACAATTCAAATACCAAAATCACAATCTGAGATCATAAAACCAAGGGACATTTCATTAATGTAATGACTTCATCATAACAACACATGTTGAAGAATGAATTTAAAATTGATAGCCAATTAATACTCGAAACATACTAGTATTCATACAAGATAAAGTTTTCAGTCTCAAATGATGTGGGACAGACAAAATCTAATCAGAGCCCACAAAAAGTTCTAAAAAAGCAAGCCCAATGTCCTATCCTGTTTTATTGAAAATGGACACTAGCAAAACTATCTAACATGAATCTCTTATTGAGACTCAATCAACTTGAGTTCTGAAAAAATGATGATTTTGGCAAAGGGTGCCATTGACTTAGCACAGGGATTTCAATAGTAAAAATAGGGGTTCTTAAACAGGACATTAAAAGCTTAACTAAGGCCTTGTTGAAAATTTTGGTTAGCTCTAATACTAATTAACTGCGTCAATGTCAATTCAAATACCAAAAACACAATCTGAGATCTTAAAACCAAGGGACATTTCATTTATGTAATGACTTCATCATAACAACACATGTTGAAGAATGAATTTAAAATTGATAGCCAATTAATACTCGAAACATTAAAAATAGTAGTAGATGCTAGTATTCATACAAGATAGAGTTTTCAGTCTCAAATGATGTGGGAAAGACAAAATCTAATCAGAGCCCACAAAAAGTTCTAAAAAGCAAGAAAATTTTGGTTAGCTTTAAATCTTGAAGCCCATAAGCATATCAAAGGGCAACATCCATCTGCAAACCAGACGCCATAATTGATCCCAAAGGTTACTAACAGTGAACTCAATTAGTCAGTGATGTAACAATATATTTTTTGTATATTAAGACTCAGAGCACATTTTTTTTGCTATGGATGTGAGTCAAAACAAACATGACTTCAAATTTGATACTACGACAACATAGTGATGGCATATTTAGAGGTTATGTCACTATGAGGTGAAATATCCCTGAGTTATTCCAATATAGGCTAACCTTGGGAGGCTCTATATTTGGGCAAGAACGAAGGCATATTTCACGTCATAGTGACATAACTGATATATTACATACCTCTATTCCCATTAGACATTTTACCTGTACCAGCTGAAATAGTCAGCTGGTCAACATCAGAACTAACTTCTTTGACATAAATCTTCATTTTCAATCCTATGTTTATTGTTTCTTCACAAGTTTATTCACACACACAATCACTCATAGAACCTCCATGGAATGAGAGCATGAAAACTAAAAACAGCTTCCTCAATTTTAATATAACAGTTAATTCATGGATAGGAGCTATACATCTTAGTATGGGCAAATGTTGTTATATAAGATCTTGCCCCAAGGTTCCCACCATCAAAAAGTTCTTTCTTTTTAAGCTGGAACTTGTTGCAGAATAAAACAAGTGAACTCTGATGCGGGTGTTGATGCTGTGATTCTGGTACATAACAGATTACAGCACCAAAGATGGCAGCACTGCATTAGTATTTCAAGGCTAGGCTAGGTTAACCCTAGTCCCTTTTATCCTCAGAGTAGATTAGGGTAACATTGATGAGAAGGTATATTAAATTACAGTTTTTAAAGGTCTCAAAATTGGAATATGAAGAAATATATAACATATTGTTCCATGTCGCCTAATATTTAGTACAAGTATGAAAAAATAGGGCCAATGGGTTTTACTATATACAATGTGTAAAAATATGGAATGTATTAACCATGGGACTCAATATGTAGTATAACTTTAAAATATGGGCAAGTATGGCACCAACGTAATGTAAAACAGGCTAAGCAGTAAGTAGGCATACAACATCCTAGCTTTTTCAATAGTACCAAATAGCAACAATCAAATTAACAGCGTCAATGTTGATTGCTACATCCAGGCATTATCACCTTTGCAGAAAAAGTAAAAAGACTAATGAAAACCGTTCAATATATACACTGAATCTGATTGGTTCATTTCTTTTGAGGATTCATTAACAAGAACTTTTTCTCGCCTAAATGGTATATAAAGTCTTGAACATTATCATTTACATCATATTCAAATCTCTGAAGCTGTAGTAAGAACTTCAAAGTAAAGCAAGAAAAAAACTTAATAGAAATGTTCCGTTACGATGTTACGCTATTTGGTGCTGGAAAGACGGGGAAATCATCCTTGATAAAGCAAATAACAAAGGGTGCCTTCAACATAAACTACACAGCGACAGTGCAGGAGAACTTCAGACACTTAGTCAAGCTGCCTGGAGGTAAAAGTAAATCTATCGAGATTCTGGACACAGCCGGATCTTTTAGCTTTCCTGCCATGCGAGAAGTTTATATTCGATCCAGTGATTCATTCCTCATCGTAATCGCTCTTGATGACAAAGACTCACTTGAATACGCAATAAACATGAAGAAAGAAATTGTTGCAATAAAAGGTAATAATTTGTACTTAATCTAAGTTTAGTGCAAAATTTAAATATCTCATAATAGCATGAAAAAGTTGATTAAACAATGTAAATCATCAATAAAACAAACAGTCGAATTGTGTCTTAATTATCTCCCTTATTTCTTCAGGTGACTCCATTCCAATGCTTTTGGTTGGAAACAAAGATGATGCCGCAAAACGTGAGATCTCTCCAGAACTCGCTGCAGCTACAGCCAAAGAACATTTTGGTTCCGCGTATATTGAAACTAGTGCTAGGACGGGCAGAAACTGTCAACAAATGTTGGTTAGAATCTGTACAGGTGACATAAAGCAAAATGCGATGATGGAAGTGGTGAAAAAACAAGGATCATTGAAGAAAATTACTCGAAAATCTTCAAAAAAAACGTTTAGAATCTACACTAAGTGATCCATTATCTGGAATGAAGAAACAATTAAACACTTTTACAGATGAACAAGGCCATAGTACAGCAGAAATTATTGACTGTAATATAAAAAGTGTCACAAAATCTAAGCCTGGACTAATTAGAAGTTTTTCACAAAGACTTTTTAAAAGATTACGCCGCTCTAGCAGTGATTCAAGTAATAACACAGACTCTGAAACATATTCTGAAGATTCCAATGATTCCGGCATTAGCACATCTTCTAAGACAACTGTTACTGTATGCTATACTATAAAATATACAACAGATAATAAATGTATAAAGTAAAATCAATTCCATTGTTTTTTTGTTTATTTTACGGGTTTATGCATTATAACAAAATAAGGTACGTGTACTGAAGCTCAGTTTTTTGAGGCTGTACGAAAAAGCAAATTTACAAAATTAAATTATTTCAAACTTTAAAATTTCACAGATTTTCTTGGATCAAAATATAAATAAGCGGATCAAATTAACAAAAATTTCAAATAAAAAACAAATGATATGATCATTCAATGCAGAGTCAGGAATGGTACATGAGAAAATAACGCAAAAATATATCACATATCGCATAATAACAGAAGCACTTGTTACTGTCTAGGTCACATGCCATATAATGTATATGTTTCAATAATAAGAGAAAATTAATAGAAAATCATCTAGAAATCTTATCTGATAATTATTATGAAACATTTGTTGGATTTATACATTATAAACGTCTTGGAGTGTAAGATATCAAACAAGAAGGCATGTGTTCATCCATCTGTTTTAGCTAAGGGCTCTTACCCAGAATTTTTAACGTATATCGCTGAAAAAAAACTGCATTGCATCTGCTCAGTATATACTTCCGGTTTATCATGTGTCTTCCTTGTAAAGTTTCACAGATCTTAGTAACTGATCAAAAGCATCTTAAATACATCAATAATGTTGACAACATACAAATATAACATTAGCAGGATGAATTTTGCTTAGCAGCATGGATTTTACTCACACAGTGACTAATAGGGCACAAAAAAATAATTAGTTGTTTCATAATTAGAACATGGTTACCATAGCAATTTGAGCAATTTCTCAATTCAATGAAAGAAGAATTGTTAATTATGTAAGCGCAAGTGCCAGCAGTACCATCATGAAAAGAAACAGTGTCTAATACTCGCCCCCCACCATTCAAATACCAATATTACAATCTGAGACCATAAAACCAAAAGACATTTCATTCATATTGAAATCATTACAACACATGTTGAAAAAATAATTTAAAACTGATTTAACATCAAAATATCAAAAATAGTTGTAGATACTAGTGTTCATACAATATAGAGCTTTTAGTCTAAAATGATGTGGGACAAACAAAATCCAACCTCAAAGCCCATAAGCATATGAAAGAGTCAACATCCATCCGCAAACCAGACGCCATAATTGATTCCAAAGGTTACTAACAGTGAAGTCAATTAGTCAGTAATGTAACAATATATTTTTGGAAATTATGATTCAGAGCACATTTTTGTTTGCTATGGATGTGAGTCAAAACAAACATAACTACAAATTTGATCCTACGTGAATGATGGCATAATATAAGGTATTAATACAACTGGTTACATCATACACTGCTTAAGGACATAGTCTAGAGTAGGGATACTAGCAGTAACACCCTTCATTTTAACACTGCTGACAACAAGAAAATAGTTTCAGCAAAAATCAAAGAGAGAATTTAGCATTGATTGGGTACCAGATTTAGAGTTAAAAATATGTCAGTGCTTTCCAAGTTTTAAAAGTACCAAACAGTATAGAAGTTGAAATTGGCATATCTCTTGATATCCATTTTTCCTGGGATAGAATGCACCATTTTCCAGAATTCACTGGGATTATGAGCCTTAAAAGTTGACAGTGAATTCAAAAAGTCACTGACGTAACAATATATTTTTTGTACAGTCTATGACCCTTAATAACTATTTTCAAGAAACCAGCATTTCTAAACACATTTTCTTTAACAATAAGTACATGATAAAAAAACTTACTTTTCAAAATATGCTTCTTCTTTGACAAGCCATTTGATCCAGTCTATTGCAACCCTCTCTTGATCGGGTGTCCTAGAAAATATCACACTGTACATGTAAATTACTGTAAATAACACAATGCACAGAAACATTACTGTAAATATCATACTGTACAATGTGCATAGCTGTAAATCATCTATAAAATTTGAACTAAAACGGTCTTCTGGCATTTTAATTATCAACTATTATTTTGTAAAAAAAATGTGGTGGCCATTTTGATTTGAGCTGCATCAAGGGTTTTAGTATAATTTCTCACAACAGGCTAAATAAATGAAAACAACAGGCAAAAGTTGAAAAGTCCCTACAACAACAGGCAATTTTGTGAAAACAACCAGTGATATTCACCTATTGCCTGCTTCTAATGAAACCCCTACATATAACAAATTATTTCTAGATGAGAGGTCCTATGCTCATAAGGCATCAGCCTTTAACCGGTATTAGAATTATCACCTGGACAGACATACAGACGAACAGCATCTCAATATCCCTCATGAACTACATTCACTGGGTTGATTTAAAAAACTGTTCCTGAGATATTAATAAATGTGTGAGAAATGTTAATTGCCTATGCATTGCAATACAATTGTAAGACAAGCCGACAACATTATCGCACCTTTCTTAAGGTAAGATAAAAAGAATCAAGGATGGAGACCAATGCACAGATACTTGAAAGGGAAGGTTTTATCAGTATTGTTTTCTATTGCTCTCATTTCTATTGCTCTCGTCTTCATGTTTCCTTCTTTTTCAACATTCCAGCAAATCTTCATCTACTTTGTACAAATCCACCCATAGCTGCAGATAAGCCACTTGTTTCAGGCATGGACGACAGACTATGGTGTTTACCTCATTTTCTTACCCAATTTATTATATCTTTGTTCCCAGGACCCCATAGGCAGCAGTCTACCACACTCCAATTAATGATACTTTTTTTTTCTTTTACATCTTTTTATATATAATCATATAACCATGGGGCCATTAACAGAAACTTCATAAAGATGAGAATTCGTAAAATCCATTGTTCTCTTACTGTAACATCATTTTATCCATGGTAACAACAATTGATTTATGAATTAGTAACTTTAGAAAGTTTCTGTTAATGACCCCATGCTGAACAAATGTATTGAAGAAGATCAATGAACTGTATCAATGCTATATCTATTTACATGGGGGCCATTAACAGAAACTTTGTAAACTTAAAGGCAGGATTTCATTACCCCCTGGTAAATTAAACCACTCCCCCATTTTGATTCAGCCAATCATTTAACTGCTTGCTAAGCATCATGGGAGGTAAACATTAGCACATGGCAATACTAAGAGCACTACAAAATGTTTTACTTACTATATCATTGTGCATGCTGTTTATTCATCAAAAAGGTTAAATATTTTATCCTAGACAGTATTGTATTTATCCAAATATTTTAATATCTTATCCATTGGGCAGTATTGTTTATTTCATTAATTAACAGGAAATTATTCCCAGGTGTGTCCAAGATATGCAACTCCACCTGGGTTAGGGTACCATTCCCTAACCTTTTCAATTACACAGTTTGGCATGAGTTCTCTTCTGCAACTAATCAAGTTCCTGAAGTTTGGGTATTGTTCCAGAGCTCTCTTTTTTCTGGCTTGGTACTTTTTTGTCTGCCATAGTCCTCTATTGTGAAGAAGTCCCCAAAATGACTTGTACATTGTTTTTCTGAATTTACTATTTTCAATCATTGCTCCATAGTTTGTAGCAGGCCACCAACTATTTTGCTCATTTGTGGTATCTGTGATGCAGGGATCCTGCAGGCAGTGTCGACATCTAGTTGGATCATCTGTCTCATCTTCACTCTCTGGGTCATCTGGGCCTGGGGGTGAAGGTGGTGTGGGTTCAGACTCATTATCCTGATAAGTAATGCTGTTCAGAACATCATCAGGTGTTGGTTTGTCAAGTTTCCACTTTTTTGTTTTAAAAAGTTCAGCAATAGCCCTTTCTTGTGTTTTAGTGAGACGAAAAGATACTATCTTTTTAGATGTGACTGACATTATTTATATTATATACTATAATTAGTATCAAAAAGACAGTGTTGGTATGTTCAGATGATGATCTGCTATCTGTCTAGGGTATCTAGGCTAATATTTCTGGGTGGTGTATCAAGTATAATACAATCTCTTTGGACATGCAAGTCAACAGGACTGTTTCGACATGTTTCAAATTGTCTAGGAGGTTTTGACTTCATGCAATATGACAAGGGTAAACCCTATGTATTTAGACAGTACCAATAGGTGTTAGTCAACTCAATCCTGGGGGTTACACATGGATGACAGATACAAAACATCTGATTTCTGATTTCAAACATGAAAAATTAATCATAGGGACCATTTCAACATAGTAGGATAGATTCAATTTTGGGACAAGTCACCCTGATAGAACAATTCTAAATATGTGTATCACCCCTCTGTCTATGTTACATGCCAACCCATTCCAATTTCATGCTTGTAGATAAGAATGTCATGAATTACAATTATGATACTATGTTTGGAAATTGTGGTGGAGAAGTTATCCAAAATATGCTTTCATGTCATGTTAGAAATGCCCAAGGGGCATAGAGGAGTGTTTCTGATCAAGTAAGACCAACAATTATAGAAATCATATGTGTCAACCATGGGTGTACCATTTGGAAGTCAGGAATCGAAACATCTCAGTTTATAATCTTCACAATCATTTTCATCGTTCGATGATTATGTTGTATATCTATAACTCTTAGATATGCGATGGATATTGTAAGGAAAGATGAATAATTCTGCATCTTAAAATACAACCTACGTAATGTAATCGCAATCGCATTTCAACTTCATTGAAAATGTAGTTTCATCTTTCTTCATATTATAAATATTCTCCAAATATCAAATGGTACAGCCATTCTAGTGTTTGAAGGAAACATACCATGGAATGATGTAAAACTTGACTTATTTGAGTTGCATGCAATGAAAGAAGGTGACAATGTCTGAAGCTAAAAAACCAAGAAAACGTACCCCATATTTTAATATAGAGGTACAAGGAGATGAAACAATCAAAGATAGGTTTCGTAAAAAGATGAAAACGGTGAAGGAAAAATTAAAATCTGATGTTAATGTTTCAACTGCTGTTGCACTTGAAACTGTTTTAGACTTTTGGATCTTACATAATGTTCAAAATGAAAACGATGTTGAAAAACATTCAAATGGGCCTGATGTATATGAGTACACACCAGTGGAGAGGGACAATACACTTGAACCTATGTTCTTGACAACAAAATCAGCAACAGAGAAGCTAATAAACACTCTTGCAGCACATAGTGCTACCTGCAACTCCCTATTATCATGGAATGAACACAGTTTCCATGGTCACGCTGCCTTAGTGCACCTGAAATGTGATTTTGATCATCAGGTCAGATGGAAATCATCACCAACACTTCCAAATGGCCAAAGCTTGGTGAATTATCAAATTTTTCAGGGATATATCACTTCTGGAATGTTACCGAATCAGTATGACAATTTGTCAAAGACTGCAGATTTTGGCCATATAAGTAAGCGTAAGCAGAAAGACATGACACAACTTTTTGCCCAGCAAGTGGAACATTGTATGACAGCATCCTGCGAGGAAGCATTTGTCACTGAGTTTGCTCATCTAGACCCAGATGAACTACAAGATGGGATATCTATTATGACTGATGCACGTCATGGGTGGCGTAAGAATGCAAATGACTGTGATATAGTATGCATTGGTCTAAGCTCCCACAAAGTTTTGAAAAGCGTGCATATTACAAAGGCTGATGATCCTATACCACAACGCCACGAGATGGTTGGTACCAGACAACTGTATGACTTTTTTGATGAGAAAGGCATTAATATAAAAGTTCATGCACATGATGCGAACCAATCTGTTAATAAATTTGTACGCGAACGAGATGGCACAACAAATCAAAATGACACATGGCATGGTGGCAAATCCCTAAAGAAGGAAATAGAGAAAGTAGGAAAGGGCCCACAGTATAGTCATGGACAGACTTGGCACATGGAACTCTCAGACAAAGTCATCCCAGTGCAAAAACAGTTTCACTGGGCTGTGAGAAATTGTAACAACAATGAAGCCCAACTACGTGACCAGCTGGATAATATATTGTGCCATTTTAAAAACATTCATCATCACTGTGACCCGCAATCAAGATGCAGAACAGATCCTAATTACCAAATTAGGTATATCATAATAAGGGACCCGGTAGCTGAGGATTTGTTCCGCACAGCTATAAGAAAGTCTATTGTGTATAGACAGGCCCAGAACTACACTAATGCGCTAGATACTTTCTATGTTGAAAGCTTCAATAACGTATTAAATGTTTTTCATGATAAACGTATAGTTTTTGGCAAAGAACAGTATGAAATGAGGACGAATTTAACAATACTGCACTGGAATGAGAATGTTGATCGGGACTTTACCAGTACCTGGGAAAAGAGGGATGAAAACCTAATCATTCAGACCAGGAAGAATCTAAAGCCAGTAACATTTCAGTACAAATCTTTGATTTGGGAAAAGGTTATGGATAATATATTCCCACTTGGATAATCAAAAAATGGATTATTACCATGCGCAATCTGAATTATATGGAATAATGCTTGATTATGGTAAGTACTTCACAAAATAACATCTTACACTACAACTAAACTGTTTACATTTAATGCCATGTGCTTCTGTTTACCAATATCACATGATCACAACTCGGTATTTGATTGGCTGCTGGATAGATAAGCCCCTCCTCATTTTCAAAATTATTTCCAACAGTTTTAAATTTTGATTTACATTTTTAAGCCAAATAAGAAAAAAAATATGAAAACTAAAACTACTGTCAGATTCAGAACATATTCATGAATAGCTGTGACAAATGTCAGCTGATTCTATACAGAAACACTAGAGATATGTGGAAAAACTTGTCTGAGGTGCTAGTTTCTCTGGACATTTAAACTTTCAAACATGATATTACATCATTTTTAACTGACATTCTGCTTTTATAGTGGAGCCCTGCCTTTAAGAATTCATAAACTTCATTGTTCTCTACTGTGACATCATTATATCCATGGTTACAACAATTGATTAACGAATTCCTAACTTTACGAAGTTTCTGTTGACCCCAATGTTAAAAATTTGTAAATACTACACTGGGGGATGCCTATAATGCCACTGGCGATTGGGTCCTTCATGTATGATCTGTAATTGTCTAATTAATGGCAACAAAATCTATTGATAAAAGAACAGATACCATGTGAGTAAAACGAGTGGTGAAAACCTGTCACTTAAAAAAACCTCAAATCATATCCACTGTTATTCTTTACATGTAGTATTAGGATGTGTTACTTACGCAAGAAGAAAGGGGCAGGCCAATAACATACAAAGCCCAAGACACACAAACTGTGCTCCAGTATTTGTTGGTGGAGGATGACATGTCACTAAACGTAATAACAGCTTCACCTCTTCATCACTTGCCTTCAATGATGCAATACCTGTAATAGCATGAGTATGATGTACCATGTATCCATATCAACTGCCTTCAATGATGCAATACCTGTAATAGCATGAGTATGATGTACCATGTATCCATATCAACTGCCTTCAATGATGCAATACCTGTAATAGCATGAGTATGATGTACCATGTATCCATATCAACTGCCTTCAATGATGCAATACCTGTAATAGCATGAGTATGATGTACCATGTATCCATATCAACTGCCTTCAATGATGCAATACCTGTAATAGCATGAGTATGATGTACCATGTATCCATATCAACTGCCTTCAATGATGCAATACCTGTAATAGCATGAGTATGATGTACCATGTATCCATATCAACTAGTTACACTACCATAAGACTATTAGTGTAGTATAGTACATGTATACATATTAATAAAGTATATGGTATGGTTCGGTACAGTGTAGTAAATATAGTATGGTATGGCATAGTACAGAATAATATAATATGGTATGGTATATAGTTTGGTATGGTACAGTACAGTTACAATATTGTTGAAAATGCATCGGTATGCATGGCAACAAAGCTCTATTGTTACAACGTCACAGTTTATTTTTGTCAAGGCACAACAATATTGTTGAAAATACAAAGATACACATGGCAACAAAGCTGGCTATGACGTCACTTTATTTATTTTAAATTAGCTTGGATTACTGAAGATACCCATACGACGTCAAAGTTTATTTTTGTTGAGGCACAACAATATTATTGAAAATACAAAGATACACATGGCAACAAAGCTGGCTATGACGTCACTTTATTTTTTTTTAAATTAGCATGGATTACTGAAGATACCCATATAATAGCAACGGTGTTAATTTTGCCATGTTGTTGTTAATGTTGTTATTTATTCACCAGTGACAAAAAAACTCATCTTGAATGTGTGACTTTTTTGGATGAAACATGGCAATATCTGGCATGGGGTAAAGGTGGCTGTATCTTAGTAAGTCATATGAGAAAGCATAGTATAGTACATTATGATATAGCAAAGTATATTTAATAATTATTCCATAATTAAATTTATGAAATTATAAACAGTTTTGTCAGGGAGAATAGGTTATTAGTACAATATATACATGTAGGTAAGGTCAACTCTGGTAAGATTGACCGGTCCCCAATCAGAGACCACGTGACCAGTGATGTCACACACAGCAGGTAACAAGTGCTACATAGAAGCAGGACAAAAAACCCACAAACCCTCTCTATTACCAACATGAAGTTAAGTCAATATCACTAATACTAGGGTATTTGAAACTTATGGCTCTCCAACGGGGAAATGGACAGATGAATAATAGTGACCTTTGAAACACGAATTAAGTTGATCCACGGCTTACTTTTGTTCTCTAACTATGTCATACATCATTATCATCCTTCCGTGCAAGTATTGGAGCGCTGAAATACTTCCTTTTCGATCAAGACTTGTAATTGTTAGTCGAGTGAATGTTTTTTTTGCCAAATTCCAATATGGCGTTTTCTGCTCAGACATTTTCATAAATCTTCTGAGGTTGTCCGAACCTAACTCATTCTTAAATTCATTTCGTTCGTTGCGTATCTCGCTCTTAGCAAACAGCCATATTGGAAAGGGGTTGAACAAACATTCATTCGATGAACAATTTACAAGTCTTGATCTAAGAAGAAGTATTTCAGCGCTCCAATACTTGCACGGATTGATGATACTGATGTAAGACAAAGTTAGAAACCAAAAGTAAGCCGTGGATCTCATTATTCATGTTTTAAAGGTCACTATTATTCAGCTGTCCAAGTGCACCATGGGAAAGCTATATCAAAATCCACATAGCTTTCACAGGAAGTAACACAGGATTTGTTCTCAAGTGGGTGCAAAATTCTCAATTTCACAATTCAGACCAAAATTGGTCAAAATATTTTTTCAATTTTTCATGTTTTTCTTGTTTTCAAGTGGGTGCAAATGGATTTTCAGGTGGGTGCAAGCCTCTTTTTAAAATCTCAGGTTCAGTTGGTTTTTACATGTAAACTACATTACTACTACATGTACTACATACCCTTTAAAGCACAGTAAAGCCTAATGAAGCTGCTTGCCATGGTAACCTGCTCCTCTTGGAGGATACTTCCAGATTCTGGCAGAACCATAATCAACTCTTCGAGAAGTTGCTCACGTAGCTTGTACAGGGTGGAGCTCTTTGGATTGGTTTTGTGCTGGAAGGAAAATCCTTTTTATTCTTATGCAAGGTCTAACAAGAACAATCTGTAAATTGTAACCATTATATGATGATCAAACATGGTCGCAATAAAGAAAAATATATATATAAATATTAGAAGTAATAATAAGATGACATCTTTCTATATCATAAATGAACAAAAGTGATACAATTGACTGCCATCTATTTAATATGAAGATGTTATAATTATTAATTAACATAGGGAAGGAGGTGGAATTCACTGTTTTTTGTATGTTAAATCATTTGGATGGAATGCTGGGGATTTGAGTTCCTTGTGTTTCTTACTTACACAGCTTTCTTGATTTAACTACTTACAAGTAGTACAGTTGATCTAGAAATGAAATAAAAACAAACACCACTCTAGTTTGTCAATCACTCTACCTTCTGCCCATTGCGTACATACAGAGAAAACCAGGCTCTGGCATCTGAATTATTGCCGAGAAGCATACTGTTAACAAACGCAAGCAAATCGGTGGATGGATTGTCTGTGATGTCATCAGTTTCCATTCTGTCCCCCGAAGTAGAATTTTGAAGCTGGAGCGAAAGTGAAACAGCAAGACCAGGGAGTCTGCAATTCTCAACCTTAAACAATAAAAAGACATTTTTTATTTCCGTCATTTTGAAAAATATAGGACATAAAAAAAGTATAGTTACCAGTTACTTGTCAAAGTAAAAAAACTTTTCAGACTTGTCCCAGTAAAAAATGGGGAAAAATTTTGAAATGTTGATTATGAATAAAAACCTTCTAAGGCATTGCAATTTTATTACAAATCAACTGGTGTTGACCAAATACTTACACATAGAGACCTTATAGTCATAGCTTGACCTGGGCACATTTCACACAACATCTTTAACATTTGTGATCTTCTACGTCCACCTATTAAACCCTCATCTTGCTTTTCGCCATTTTTTACCAGCGCAGTACAAACTTCAAGGAAGCTATCTGGCACGTTTGTTATCAGTCGGCATAGTAGCCAACTACCATTGCTAACATGTAGTAAGGCTTCTGCCACCTCAGATAGTGGAAGTAGTTTGGGTAATTCTACAAAATAAACAATTTAAGAAAATTTTAACACAACTTGAGAAAAGTATATGGGGGAAGACTAAAGATTAAATCAAATGTTAACCTTTGTAATATATTGAGTATTTTCCTAGCTGCATTTGCTGATGCTGCACAATGTCTTATTTCTATTTTCTGTTCTTAATTTCAAACATCAAATAGCATACTGTAGTTTTTAAAGGTGGTGCCTATATGACAATGTGCGTGATAAAATATTTAAGGGCCAGGTCAAGGCATAATAAATAATATAGAACATCTTTTATGCCTCAAGATAAATCATGAATGTATGTGATTGGAAATTGGCAAACTGACACAATGTAATGTTCCAGTGAGTGCCCTTGGGTGGGTAAAAATTTTACCTGCTTGTGCAATACAGAGCACATCAGACACCTCCTCAAGATAGGCTTCACTCTCAAACAATTCCGAAGATTTGTGGTAGAACTCAGTCCTTGTTGATTCTCTCATCTGGCCCATTATAAACAAAAGCTCACTCAGAAAAAGGCGGAGTTTTCTCGCTGCGCTACTTCGCTCAAATTCCAAGGCAAGACCATGCTGTAGTTGTGATATCAGTACACTGTCAGTCTGTTGGCCACCAATTTTAGTCCTGGAATTAGTGAGATACACGAACCATGAACTTTCTAGAAGGTCTGTTACTAGTTAGATAATATAAAACACAATGTCTACTCTATTTCAGGGCTAAAAACATATTAAGATTACTTTATAATGAAAACATTTCTAACCTTAAAATCATATCGCAATCAAAATTTACAATTTACACCTTTATAACACCAGAGAATATATAGCATCTATCAACTTACAGATTCAATAAATATAGACATCCTAAAAACAGAAGAATTTTTGTTTCACATTCCAGAGTGGTGCAGATCACATCAGGATGTATTTTATTCTTCTTATTTAATCACTTTATAGATGATCTTGCACTATATTTACCAACGCACTGTGGAGTAATTTTAAATGATAAGAGGCTTAACCACCTTCTATGGGCAGATGACCTCATATTGATTTCAGAATCCAGTGAAGGATTGCAGACATTACTTGACGCACTTTTTGCTTTCTGTAAGACTAATAGGTTAATTGTCAATACAATGAAAACTAAAGCATTAATCTTCAATTCCAAAAGATCTTTCAAATTTGAATTTAATGAAAAAAGTATTGAATGTGTTAATGAATACAAATATTTAGGTCTCATTCTCACCAATAACAACAGTTTTGATATGAACACTAAATATCTTAAAGAACAATCAAGAAAGGCTCTTTTTAAGATAAAACAGCAATATAAGAAGTTTAATGATGTGCCACCAGATGTAGCTCTTCATCTGTTTAATGCTTTGGTCAGTCCAATTTTATCTTATGCATGTGAAATATGGTATGATAAAAAACAAATGAAAGCAATTGAATCCATACATTTGTCTTTTTTAAAGTCAACATTAGGTGTCAAATCACAGACTGCAAGCCCTGCTGTGTATGGCGATCTAGGCAGGTACCCATTGTCAATCAAATTTGAGTGTTATATTATAAAATATTGGCTTAGACTCCTAACATTTCCAGAATCAAGTGTATTAAACCAAGCCTATTTATATGATAGAGATATTCAAGAGTTAGGATTCAAAAGTTGGTCTAGCAAGGTCTATGATATACTCAGAAAATGTGATTTATTGGATTATTGGAATGCCCAAAATCTGAATACTGACAATCTAGTGAGCATGGTAGAAAAGAAGTTGAAGGTATTATTTGTAGAAAAATGGAAAAATGATTTGAACATTTATCCTATACTGAGAACGTATAAATTGTTCAAAAAAGATTTTAGAATTGAATTATATTTGAAATTAGATAATAAAAAATATAGATTGGCGATAAGTAGATTTCGAATGAGTTCTCATCGATTGGCGATTGAGACTGGAAGACATGCAAAGCCAAAACCAAAACCTAGAGAGGAAAGATTATGCAATACCTGTAAACAAATAGAGGATGAATGTCATTTCCTTTTAACTTGTACAAAGAATGATGAGCATAGACAATTATTGTACACTAAGGCTCGTGAAATTCTAAGTAACTTTGACCTCAATAGTGAAAATTTATTTGTCAATCTCATTTCAAGTAAAAACTTAACATTACAAAGACACATTGGAAAATTCATTTATCATTCATTTAAGAATTTGTAGTCAGAATGCAGGGTATGTGCACCACACTTTAAATGTAACCTTGTCCTTTCATCATGATGTATACTACCTTTATTTTGTTTTTTTTTGTATATCTCGTATATATTTTTGTACTTTTGCCTTAGTTAGTATTTGTAGTTTAGATATTTAGTTTTTTCATAGTTATGACTAATGTAATCATGTTATGATACAAGATGTCAATAAAAGTTATATATAAAAGTTATATATTGTATTTCTAAACCATGGCCCATGTCTAAACCAATCATCTATGAAATGTCAGGTAATAAATTGCGGTTTTTAGATGACGATGGATATGGATCATTTGTTTGACTTTTAACTTAGACTAAAGCTTGTACTCTTTTCTCCTGCGGAATGTGGGCTATGGGCATAAATACCCCATAAATGTGGGGTTGACTTGTGTATCGAATCTTGGGATTGTTGAAGAACGTTATCAGAAGTTGACACAAAGCAATAATTCAGATTATTTTTCAACGTAAGTTTTCAATAGATCTCAATACACAATTAGTTGTGGGGGTGATTTGAAAAACGCTTTATCAGGGTAGGTATGGTCTTTCAATAAATGGACACATTACCTCAGTTGCTGTTCTTTTTTAACATCAATGTCTAGAACATGAAAGTCCACAGAAAGTAGATCGACAAGGGAATTGACAACTTCTTGTCCAGAGAGTATTTGCAAAATCCTTTTCCTTTCCTCTGTCCATCTTTCACTTGTGTCCAGAGTTGCACAGAGGGACATTCGAACTAAACATGGCAAAACTGGTCTGATCTCGACATCTGTGAATTGCGAAAGTCTTATAACATCGACATTCTGTATTGCTTCATACAATTCCGGTTTTATTGGAGCCCTGGTTGTCATGATGTAGCCGTTATATGCAAAAGGGTTACCGCATTTTATTTTTTTGTATATCTACATTTTACTCTCTAAATTGGAGGCGGAAAGTACTGAAGAGCAATGACACGCCACAAAACATTTTAAATTTTCCCATATACATTGAAAACAGCAGTAATTACTCGAATATGTCTGGATCTGGACTCATGAATAACATGTATTGAATCTTGATGCACAAATTCATTTTGTTTTATGCTTCGACACAACACTGTAGTTTAATGAAACAAAATAATCTACACTGACCGAAACTCATTGAATTAATTCCCGGGTGGGTTCTGCATGTCAGTGAGGGTGGTGGCTTACTTAAAACGTTTGTCCTATGCATGACGCTGCCTGAGTGATGAAATATGTTGTTTGAAATAATATGACATCACCTGCCATTTGTTACAGAAACCAGATACCAACCGCTGAATGCCAAACACCAACCGACAAACACTATAGACAAAATGGCTATAACAATATTTCAACACTTTGGAGGTGACATAAAACTATATTCTATTTAATTATATTTATTTAATGTTACTTTATCTGCTTTAAATGAGCTTTTGCAGATTATTAATATTAATAGAGACATTATTTAGAAATGTTTACAACATCAAAAGGAGATGAAGATTATTTGAGTATAGCTGTTCTTAATGAGCTACTTTATAATTTAAAATATAAATTAGTTCCCAAAACTTTAGTAACAAGGATGAAACTGGTATGAAAATATATGTACATTTACTTTTCCAGCTACAATCAATACCTCGGGATATTCATCTTAAATATTGGTACTTCATAATAAAACATAGTTAGGCCTAAATGGTGCCATTCATTACGTCTAGAAAGGGCAAATAAGCCTTATAAGGTATTTTGAAAAAGTGTATGCTTCAGTTGGGTTCACAAAAATGGCAGGAGTGTGCAGTAATAGTATATGTTAAATAATATGTTGAATGTTCCCTCAACTCATTAGTTTTTTCTAATATTGCCCTTTGTGCCATTTCCTCTACAGCAACCAGCGACTAAAGGCATTCATTCAATAAAAACAATACAAATGTGTGGCTTTTATATTTTATTTATTTTTTTGTATTCATATTAAATAGCATACATTATAACATGTGGCTAATAATTGAATGGTACATGATAAGGACAAATCATTGATGTATTGTCAGACCTTTCCAGAAAATCTGATTACAGCGAAGTACAAGCTGATTTTAACATTATATTTATGAACATTCAAAATGTTGAATTACAACTATAGAGAAAAGAGAACAGAACAGATAATTCCATTGAAAAAATTGTATATGTTGAAAATATAATGGGTTCAATGATCAAAATTAATGTGCACTATTTAATAGCATTTAACTATTATAGATTTTGGATCAGTTCAACGGAGATATTTTGGGATAAGAAAGTATCGATACAAGTTTGGCTGTAAAAGTTCTTATATCAGTCGTATACACTGTTCGTAGTTGTTTACATCCTTGTCCATTGATGAATCATGATTGTTTGGATATAAAATAAAAATGTAAAGTGAAAGTCTATGCTAGAATTTGAATTCTTTATATTTTTTAGCTCCTTTTCTTTCACTTTCTGCTTGTTGCTTTTTCCGCTTCTGAAAGTAGAAAACATATTAATGTAAGAATAGGCCTGATGTTTTAGCCATTCAAAAATTATGCTATTTTGTAGAAAGTGGATACATATCTTAAATGAAGTTGTTGGTCAGACAACATTTTCTTTATCTTATTTTTTCAAAAAAAATATTTATTTTGTTTTATCTTTTTATGAAGCTGGGCATTAAAATGTGACAATGAGCGGGTGACACAAATTGTGTATATTCATGACAGTGTCATAATTTACGACTAAACTTTATTGAAAATCATGAACATCACACAAACCTTGGCCTGCTTTGCTGAATGTTCTGCCACCATATCACTTAAATCTTCTTTTTCTAACTGTGACTGTTGTTCCCTCATTGTCTCATCATACTTGGCTTGCATGGCTGCAGTGTCAAGATCAAGCTCCTCAGGATTAAGGGCAATCTCAACACCTTCAGCAACTTTGTCACCTTTCCTACCAGCCTGCAAAATAACAAATAATTTCTTAGCTAAAAACTTCAAAATACAAAATTTTGTCTTGTGATTCTCATGAATGAATTCTCGTGAATTCTCATGCAACTTTGTCACCTTTCCTACCAGCCTGCAAAATAACAAATAATTTCTTAGCTAAAAACTTCAAAATACAAAATTTTGTCTTGTGATTCTCATGAATGAATTCTCGTGAATTCTCATGCAACTTTGTCACCTTTCCTACCAGCCTGCAAAATAACACAAAAATTGCTCAGTAATATAATTTCTTAGCTAAAAAGTTCAAAATACCAAATTTTGTCTAGTGATTCTCATGAACTAAAGCAAGCCTGATGAGATGTTCAAGCGATGCAATTTTTATAGTCTTATGAATCATATTGTGTAACTTTTTACTGTTTTAGATATTTGAAATGTTTAGTTTAATGAAAATCACAAATACAGTACGCAATGGAGTTTTATGCACAATATGTCAAAATCAAAAATACCTAAAAATGTGGCACAATATCAAAATGAGTGTTTCTAGAATATGATAGAATCGAGAGAAAACGTTTAATCAAAACACAAGGTCCAATCTGTGAATTCTGAAATCTGAAAAATCATGAAAGAAAGCATTAATTTGATATTTTGATTTTTTTCGGACATTTTCCATCTGAAGGTGTTGCACATTATTGAAAATTTATGTGCAATTCTGTTGAAAATCTGATTAGCACCTTGTCAAAAGAATGAAACATTGTTAGTAGTATTAAGTATATGTTAGTAGTATTAAGTATATGCTAATACTCACAGCAGCTGCAGCAGCCGATATATCATACATATGTGCAGATCCCATCATGCCTGAGCCAACAGATCTTTGTTTTTCTGGTAAAACTTGATATAATTGTGCAGGAGTGTCTCCTCCCTCCATAAGGTCCTCAATACGTCTTTTTCTCAGCTCTATCATTTCAGGGGTCTCCAGACCTTGAGGTATAGATGTCACCCCACTTGGAGTAATAAGACCCCTGAAAACACAATGAAAACATGACACATCACATAATTGATTAGTTATGAGGCAGTTATCTTACCACAACTGGTAGTAATCGCCAATACAAACTAGAAGCCTTGGACTAAATCAACATGAACTGAGGGAGCTACATATCTGATTTGCAACCTTTGTATTAAACAGACCATGATGTTTCATGAGGCAAAAGACTTACGCATCTCCCGGAGTAATAAGCCCCGATTTATCAGCTTCTTCCTCCTCTTCTTCTTCCTCTGAAGACTCTTCTTCTGATTCAGACTCAGACTCCAAGTCTCCCCAATGAGTCTTATCTATTTCTTCTTCTGTCACTGGGGCAACAGCCTCACCAGTGCTTGTGTTAAAAACATCTCCATACAGAGGCTTGCCGTGTTCATCAACAGGAGGCTTGCCCCATCCACCAGCATGGTAGCCAAATGAACAACCCTAAAAAACAGTAAAGCATTGTTCATATCATAAGAAATTACCAAATGACAATGATCTCTCTTAGTTAAGCCCATTCACTTCAAAGAGTCAAGCCTAAAACTGAGGTACTAAAACTAACCACTTACTTTAATTACAAAATGTTTAATATATTTCCATCTTCGATTTCTCATTTTCTATAAAGTATCAAAACGCTTAAAAATGGTGATACTGGACACAAGATGTTTACATGTATTGTATATATATTAAACATATAGGAGTCGTCCCACAAGTTCAAACTGAAAGTAATGCAATGTGACTTACCTCAGGTATTGCACCATTGAGTCCAGGTATTTTTAAATTAGGGTAGCTGGGTGGAGGACCATAGCGCTGCATGGCTATTAACCAAGGTGGAGGGAACTTGTCTGCATTCTGAAATGTAAACCCACACTTGGAAAAGTTTGGACATAACGGGTGTGCTGCAGTTCATGCGCTTTATCCATAAAATATATACCCCATCTATAGAAGTACATGTATTAGGAACTATCATGGATTCACCTATGGGTGTTTCTATATTTTAAAGAAGGTTTCTAAGTCATCAGTTATTCTTCATGATGAAATATTGGTTTATGTTAAAAGTTGTGGACCTAAACAATGAAATTTTGATTTCTAATTGAAGCCCTGTGATCGGAGGATGAACTGATTGGACTCATGGACATCTTAAAAAGAAATATGGGTAATAAAAGATCAAATAATTATTTTAGATTTACTGGACCCTTTGGCATTCCTAAATATGTCATGAAAACAATCAGAGATCTTAAAAGAAATACTGGTTTCAGACATTAAAACTAAAATAATGATTTTAGACTTACTGGACCTATGGGCATTCCTAAAGCAGTCCTGAGATCATCACTGAGATTGCCAGGTTTCTTTTCTTTTAATCTTGTTTCAAATTCTTTACCCTGCAAATAAATATACAAGTAATATACTACATGTAATAGTACACAAGGAAAGCTGATTCAAATGCTAATATTTTTTATTTCCCATAAACAACTTATCTGAGGAATCATGTAATTTGCCATTTTTGGCATATTGGCGGCTATTTAATTTGGCGGATATGCAAAAAAAAATTTAATTAACTTACGCGTTGTTTGCGAATTTTATGTTCATTTTTTCTTTTGAGGACCACTGGCAATATTCACCACGTTTGTACATTTTTGTGAGATCATCCTTTACATTTTGCACCTCGATTGATGCTGCTACTATACTGCACTTTTCCTTTCTAGTTTTTCCCTGAGTATTAATAAGTGACTGACCAGTTCTGAGCCAATTTATGAGAGACATTTTTTTCATATTTTTGGAAAAAACTAAACCGGAAGTGACCTAAATACACTCGACGAAATACCCTAGATAATTCCCGGGGATTCATTCTAAATTTTGGCGAAGATTTATATTGGCGAATTTTTCAATTTCGCCAAATTCGCCAAATTAAAGCGGGCGCCAAATTAACCCAATCTACAGTAAATAAGAAATTTTTCTCACCTCGTAATAAAGATCACCATGCATAGTCATCTTAGGTTTGGTTTGATATCTGAAGAAAGCGTCGTGAAGTTTTTGGTAATCAATATCAATCTTTCCCATCTTTGGACGAACCTTCTCCCGCATTTTTTGTTTCATGGATTTCTCAGCTTCCTAAACCATGTAAGAAATGTACATATACAAAATTAGATATAGAACTCAAATGACAAATGAACCAAATTAAATCTTACTAGATGCAAGAGACAAAACAAGATTACAAGAAATTTTTCAGTTTTCATTTATTTGTCTTTTAAAGGTACTTCAACATTATCGCCATGTCCATGGTCAAAATCATTGGGTATAACTAGTAGGAGTGGCTCAAATCAATTTGCCCCGGCCCGAGCAAGCCCGACACACCCCTAAAAGGACAATTTTTTAGTTGAGACATTAACAGCATTTATTTATGCACACCATGATTCTATACCTTCTCTTGTAAAGCCTCTCTCATCTCCATGATCCCAGTGGCCCGAATATAATCTGGTAGCTCGAAAGGTGGCTTTTCTATACCACGTTTCCCCTGTAGATATTTCCTCTTAAAGCACCAATGTCGTGGCACTGGGACAGTGTTCCTGGTTGCTTTCAGATGGACCAAGAGCCTTGGATCTTGAGCTGTGACATCATGCATTTCCACGACGTCTGGTCTAGCAACCAACTGAAACAAAAGATGTCTGCAACGTTGCTAATATATTCAGGGATGTAATATTGAGAGAAATATGTAAAAATATATGACAGGCACTATGGCTCATTGGCAGACCCAAGGTTACCGATGCGCTTGGCCCCATGTTCGATTCCCAATTCAGAATAATCTGTTTGTGCGTTATATAATTCAGAATGTTTGACTGAGTCGTCCACAACTTGTATACATTGGACACAAACGTGTTCAATGTGTCCTCACCAATGGGTGATCAAATATGGATTTTTCATCATTAATGCCCATATTTCTTGATTTGGGCTTTTAGTTACTACTATATTATCAGTTACAAAGAAAACTGGAGGGTTTATTTTAGAGAGGTGTACTGCATCAATTCTCTATGTTTACAGAATCAAATGAAAATGGCAGTATCATTTGATCAATCTTTGCAAGAGGTTTAATCTACTTAGAACACAGGTTGAACTTCTATTGAAAAATACCATACAATATGACAGGGAGTATCATCTGATCAATCTTTGCATAAGGAGTCTATCTACTTAGAACACAGGTTGAACTTCTATTGAAAAAATACCATACAATATGACAGGGAGTATCATCTGATCAATCTTTGCATAAGAAGTCTATCTACTTAGAACACAGGTTGAACTTCTAATTGAAAAAGTACCATACAATATGACAGGGAGTATCATTTGATCAATCTTTGCACAAGAAGTCTATCTACATAGAATACAGGTTGAACTTCTATTGAAAAAGTACCATACAATATGACAGGGAGTATCATCTGATCAATCTTTGCATAAGAAGTCTATCTACTTAGAATACAGGTTGAACTTCTATTGAAAAAGTACCATACAATATGACAGGGAGTATCATCTGATCAATCTTTGCATAAGAAGTCTATCTACTTAGAACACAGGTTGAACTTCTATTGAAAAAATACCATACAATATGACAGGGAGTATCATCTGATCAATCTTTGCATAAGAAGTCTATCTACTTAGAACACAGGTTGAACTTCTAATTGAAAAAGTACCATACAATATGACAGGGAGTATCATTTGATCAATCTTTGCACAAGAAGTCTATCTACTTAGAATACAGGTTGAACTTCTATTGAAAAAGTACCATACAATATGACAGGGAGTATCATCTGATCAATCTTTGCACAAGAAGTCTATCTACTTAGAATACAGGTTGAACTTCTATTGAAAAAGTACCATACAATATGACAGAGAGTATCATCTGATCAATATTTGCACAAAAGTTAGAATATAGGGTGAAGATCTATTGAAAAAGTATCAGGCTTTACCTGTTTCAACTCTGCTACGCTTAGTCTATTCAATTTCTTCATTTTCTTCTTTGAGAGTTTTGGCTTATCATCATCGTCTTTCTTGGGCTGAAACGAGAAAGTAAATGTCAATATAAAACTGTGACACACTAAAATAATACAGTGTGCAAATTATGCAAGATTCTTTGCTATAATCTGTCATGGGTCATGTTCATTTCTTTAGCTCTAGTTAGAGAATCAGATCTAGTGAGCAATCTAACCCAACTTTTGTTTAAATTCTATAATAGTTTTGGCTCATATCATTCCTTGTCATGTCATTTTCTAAAATTCCCCATACTTTGCTCCAGGAAAACTAAATATTTTTACAATAATGTATTATTTTTATGGTTAACCATTTTAATAATTTGGGAGAATTTAAACAGTTTTCCCAAATTTTTGCACTGCTTTTAATCCTTAATTTGGGAGATATATTTGAGATTGAAGGAATAGATTGGAAACAATTTTGTTACTCCTATAGATCTGATTCTGCATTTAATTTGACTTGACACTACAGACCAAGACAGGTTCTACTGTATGTTCCATAGATGCGTTCTTTACAGTTAACAGGAGTCAATGAATTTATTCTTCATTTCTTCAACATTATATAATTTTTGCACTGCTTTTAATCCTTATTTTGGGAGATACTGTATTTGAGATTGAAGGAATAGATTGGAAGCTCAATTGTACATGTTGCTTGCAATTTTGTTACTCCTATAGATCTGATTCTGCGTTTAATTTGACTTGACACTACAGACCAAGAGTGCAGATTAACTACATTATAAAATAACGGCTTTAATATAATGGTTGTATTTTGTAATACAAATATTTAAGCATACCAGTTCCTCATCAGAATCATCGTCATCTTCATCTTTCTCTTCCTCTGGTTTCTTCTTGACAACAACAGGAGCAACTGGTTCTTCTTTTATTGGCTCTACTGGCTTCTCTTCCGTGATCTACAAACATATAACATGCATTATTAGAACTATATAATCAGTCTCTCCTTATGAAAATCAGACCAGTTTTAAAGGCAGATAATCGGGCGGATTATTTTCTATTGATCTAAATATCTGCAGCTGATAACTTCACCTGATAATAACCGTAAACATCTGCACTTTAAACTACCAATGGAGGTTGAGCAATCCACTGGTACATTTCATTTTCACAACCCAATGCTTGTGTTCCCTTAGGGATCAAGTTTGTAATTTGCCCAGTTCATACTCTAGTAATACAAAATGGGAATGTGCAGCAGAGTGACACCAAAAATGCAATTAATATTGTACATTGTTTTAAGTACAAAAAAAAGTTATTGAAATAAAACTTTTATTACCTTGAAAGCCTTGAAGATCTTATTGAATATCCTGAAGTTGGGATCAGATGGATCAATGTGCAGTTCTTCCTGCACATACCTATAAATAAATATACAAACAGATAAACATATAAACTGATGTATTTTAGAAGGATCCTTTCAAGTAGAAGGTAATCAACCTTTGAACAGTCAGCCTAGAGCACTTAAAACCCTAAGATAGACTCCGTCACCCTTTAACCATGAGGTTGTGAGTTCAAGACACATGAGCTCCTTGCAATTATTATCCATTTTATTTGAACATTTCATTAGAGTCAATACTATTTTAGAAATGCTCTTTTAAATTGCATGAAATATCTTCAGCACCATAAAAATACAGGATACAATTTGAGAAAAAGTTTTGTACCAATGCAATGAATGTTTTTCACATACTACATCAAATTATTCTTGGGGTCATTTACAGAAACTTCATAAAGTTACGAGTTATTCAACCAATTGTTGTAATGACGTCATAGTAAGACAACAATGGACTTGGGAATTCTGAACTTCACAAATGTTTCTGTTGTTTACTTACTCCACTTCAACATCATCGTCATCGTCATCATTCTGAGTGACCTCCTCTTTCTTCGTTTCTTGTTCTGCCCACCTATGCTTGGCACGCTTCTTCTTCTTCTTGCGTTTCTTATTCTTGGACTTAAAAATAAATTATTTTGTTATGTAAAATAAGAAGATGGTACTGGGATATACTCTCTATTTCAGTTTACGAGTCATCTTATCAAAATATAAATATTTGTCAAGAAAAATTTAAGGACTGAATTTGCCTACTCATGATTCATATTTAAGGAAAGAATATGAAACAAATCCAGTGTTTTCTTTGAACAATCTCTTTTTGTTCAACAGCACATCACATTCTTGTAAAATATGGTAGCCGTGTGGGTTCCAGGTTTATACACTTTACATGTGGGATAAGCAACATATGAATCAAAATTAGCATTAGATTCAATGTGTTTTCTACATACCTCTTTTGTATCAGGTTTCTCCTTCTCAGTGGCATGTCCATAGTCCGCCATGAATGCTGATTTCCCTTTTTCTGCTTCTACAACAGCTGGCTCTTCAGCCTCATCTTGAATGATGTCACCTGGAGAAAGATTCGAATATGAAGAAAATATCACGACGGGGGGGGGGGGATTTTGAAATGCAGTGAGAGAGCTTTCAGAATTGAAAAGCCCTAATATCACATATTACACAGAATGAAATCTTGTACTAAGGGCTGATGTGAAAAAATCAGTCCAGCCCAGTGGGTAGCGAACCCACAACCCCTCATTTTCCAATATCTCTACCACTGAGCTAGTTCAAAAAATTAGGCAGGAAGAACAAAACCAAGTTATCACAGAAATTCAATTTTTATTGTAGTACATTGGAAAAGACTATGTGGTTACTTCTGCCTAGTTGCAGGTCTTTCATAAAACTAAAAACGTAACTATGACATGCGTTACTGAAAAATCTCTAACCTTCCTCAAACTCCTCTTGAGTGATGCCAATCTGTTGGGCACGGACTTCTTTGAATGCAAGAACTTTCTCCAGTGCAGGCGGTAGCTTCACTTCCTTGGGCTCTTGTAATTCTACCTTGACCTGAAGTTGTTAATAATGTACAAGTGTTTCAAATGCATTTTACAAATTTATATATACTACTATCACTCCATTTGAAATAACAAGAAAAGATGAAGAACCTCAATTTAATCAAAGTCTAATCACTTATTAGGGAAGTTATTTCAAATAAAGTTCAATAAGAACTGCTCATATTATATATCAATCAAGTATCTAAATATATTGTGTTATACCCCTTTGATTTTCACAGTCTACTGATTTAGTAATACAAAGCTACAGATAACTTAACATAGATTTCTTACAGGTATGGGTGGAGGTACAGTCTCTAGGGACATAAGAGGAGGTGGTGTCTTAGGTCTTGGAGGACCCTGCTGTTGAATCAGTTGGGGAGCTTGCTGCATGCCTGGTGGTTGAACTTGAGGGGGCTGAGCAGGTGGCCCCTGGGGAGGTACCTGGACTGCAGGAGGTTGACCTTGCTGCTGCATGCCTGGTGGAGGCCCTAGAAGGGGAGCTGGAATTAAGACAACAACTGACTGTTAGACCAGGAGAGGCATAAGTCAATAATAAAAGTGGCATCAATTGCCTGATCATAGCAGATTGTAAAGTGAAAAAATGAACACCACATGATATCTATCAATAAACAAGATTTGATTTGTGGTGCCCACCCATACATCAACACAAGACGACAATATACTGTAAAAGCCCAAATTATCAAGGTGCTCTAATTTTCACTGAAGAGGCTTAAGGATGTTCCCTGGACGAAGTTGAAAACGATGAACACCAACCCCTAATTTTTCTTTTCAAAATGTGAAGTACATAGCATAACTAAGTGTTTCTGTGAGTTTAAGAAAAAGTTAAATATTCAAAAGTGTGTTTTGGGGTGAAAACCTGATTTTTAACATGGGTTTCAATGAGAAAGTGCCACGCCCACTTTTGTCAAATATTGACACTTTAGAGGCCTCTTGCTCAGAAAAAAGCACACTAACATATGGTTTTTAAAGTTTTAATATTCTTTGTTGCCCGTGAGAATCCCAGAAAACCATTTTTGAGAAAAAGTTAAATACTATTGAATATTTTCCTATCTGACCAGGGAACATCCTTAAAGACCGTGGAATTAAAGGCAGAGTGAATGTTTGATTTAACATTGAATTCATTAGGACATTTCTTCAAACAGTGAACTTTAAAGCCCATAAAACATTTCAGATTGACATAACAGTGAATATTTTTGTCAGCATAATTTGGGCTTTTACAGTAGCACTTTTTGGAGAGTCAATAAAAAAAAATTAACATTTCTGTTATCTTACACATAATATAGGAATATCCTATGGTTTTGAAAAAATATCATTTATATCCATGATTGTCCGTTTATCCCATGGAAAATCACCATCAGCGAAAATTTTTGAAAAACATAATTTGAGAAAAATTTTGAAAAAATGAAAAAAATTTGAAAAAAATGTTGAACATTTTTTTTTAAATTTTGAAATGTTTTGGAAATATTTTTGAAAATAATTAAAAAATGTAAAAAGAAATTATTTTTGAAAAAATTCGAAACCATCGAATATCACTTTTCAAACCATCGAATATCACTTTTCAAACCATCGAATATCACTTTTCAAACCATCGAATATCACTTTTCAAACCATTGAATATCACTTTTTAAGACGTGATATTCAATAGTTTAAAAGTGATATTCGATGGTTTGTGAATTTTTTGCTAAAATATGTTATCTTGATCCACATATCAAATATATCTTCATGTGATATTCGATCTATATCCTTGCAACCATGGGAAAATACTTATAATATCTAATATTTTACCAGATCTTTGTTGTTGCTGTTGCTCAGATATCATACGCTGCTGCTGTTGGATCTTCTCCTGTTCCTCCCTCTGTCGTTCTATCAATGCAATCTGCTGTTGGTGTAGCATCTCTGCTTCTTGTTGTTGTTTCTGGATCGCCATTTCACGTTGCTTCTCAAGTAAGGCCTGGTAATGTCAAAAATCGTGAATTTATTTAGTTCATAATATAAACGGAATCCTCATGACATCATACATTTTCAATATCAAAATCCCATCAAAATCTGCCAATTTTTGTATTTATTTTCTCATGTTTAAGGTGCGAATTGATTTTCTGGTAAGGGCTTGCCTTATTTCAAAATCTCAAGTGGGAGTAAAGCTCACTTGTTTTAATGCTGGGGCGATCTCTGGATCCAAATTTCTTATTTGCAATACAAATCTCAAGTACAGATAATCAAAATCAAACTAGCATAAAAAGTACAATTAAGAGTGTAAACTGAAGCTACCTGTTGCTGTAGCTCCATAAGATGTCTGTCCTGGGCCGCCTTCATTAGCTGCTGTTGTTGCTGGGCTAGCAATGCCTGTTGTTGTTGACGATCCTTCTCCTGCTGTAGCAACTCTTGTTGCTGAAGGGCCAATGCTTCTTTCTGCTGTTCTAACAGCCGTTGCTGCTCCATCACAGAGCGCTGTTTATCAGCCTCCAGTAGCTGTTGTTGGAGCATGACCTTCTGCTGTAACTCAGCATCAATTGCCTTTTCTTGCTCCTGGAAGGTAAGATTGACACATGAATAAAACGAAACATTAAGAAATTCTCACTGCCCCAACAAAGCTATACTTATGCAACTAATATCAAAAATGCACTGTATCCAACAAAATAACAATTTCCAATGGTATTGTTAATGTAATTAGCTGAAAGTAAAATAATAAAAATCTTACTTATACGCACTAAATATGGTGGATGAAATAAATAAATGGTTGCTAGCCCAACTAGGACTTCTGTGACTGTAATGTTCTGTAATTCATGGTGAACATTTATTTGTTCACTGATGTAAATAAATGAGTTCTTCCCAAAAAAAGAATTTGTAAAGTAATCTAAACTTGCCTTGAGTAGTTGTTGTTGTTGCTGAATCTTAATCCTCTCTTGCTCTTGCTGCTCCAGGAATCTACTCTGCTGCTGGGCAAGGTTCACCCTCTCCTCTTCACTCAGCTCTGAGATACCTCCTGGGGGAAGTTGGAACTGCTGGGGAAGCCCTGGGGGCTTGGCTGCTGGGATCCCTGGGGGAGGCATGCTGAGATTGGGTGGGGGTATCGGCATTGCTGCAACAGTAACTTGAGATTGTTGCGCTTGTTGCTCTTGATGTTTCTGCTCTTCTAATTGTTGTTGCTGAATTTCCCTCTGCCGGGCTTCTTCCATTAATTGCTGTTCTTCTCGCATACGCTGTTCTTGCATTATTCTTTGCTGTTCCTCTTGCTGACGATGCTGCTGTTCTAAAGCGTGTTGCTGTTCTCGCTGCTTTTGCTCTTCAATCAAACGTTGCTGCTCTATCATCTGCTGTTGCTCCCTCTGTCGCTGTTCTTCTATTATTCTCTGTTGTTGAATCATTTGCTGTTGCTCCCTTTGTCTTTGCTCCTCTTGCAGTCTTTGCTGTTCCATAACTTGTTGCTCTCTCTGCTCCCTCTGTCTTTGCTCCTCTTGCATTCTTTGCTGTTCCATTTGTTGCTGCTGTTCCCTCTGCTTCTGCTCTTCAAGCATTCTTTGTTGTTCCATCTCTCTCCGTTTCTGCTCTTCAATTTGTCTTTGCTGTTCCATTGCCCTTTGCTGTTCCTCTATTTGCCTTTGCTGTTCTGCTTTCTGTTTCTCTTCCAAGGCCCTTTGCTGTTCAATCATTTGAAGCTCACGTTGACGCTGTTCTTCCATTAATCTTTGCTGCTCCAAGGCCTGCTGTTGCTCCCTCTGTTTTTGTTCTTCAGCAAGCCTTTGCTGTTCCATCATATGTAATTCCCTCTGTTTCTGCTCTTCAGCTAACCGTTGTTGTTCCATCATCTGATGCTCTCTTTGCTTTTGCTCTTCAATAAGTCTTTGCTGTTCCATCATTTGTTGTTGCTGCTGTTCCCTCAATTTTTGCTCTTCCATTAATCTTTGCTGTTCCATCATTTGTTGTTGCTGTTCTCTTTGCTGCTGCTCTTCAGCCATTCTCCGCTGTTCCTCGGCTAATCTTTGTTGTTCCATCATTTGCTGTTGATGTTCTCTTTGCTGCTGTTCCTCAGCCATTCTCCGCTGTTCTTCTGCTAATCTTTGCTGTTCCATCATTTGCTGTTGTTGCTCTCTTTGCTGTTGCTCCTCTGCCATTCTTCGCTGTTCCTCGGCTAATCTTTGCTGTTCCATCATTTTCTGCTGCTGTTCTCTTTGCTGCTGCTCCTCAGCCATCCTTCGCTGTTCCATCATTTGCTGCTGCTCCATCATTTGCTGCTGCATCATCTGCTGTTCCATCATTTGCTGTTGTCCCATCATTTGCGGTTGTTCAATCTGGCGCTGCTCCATTCCAGGTGGTGACATCATCATTTGAGGCTGTCCCATTAACTGAGGGTCCATCATCATTTGTTGAGGGTCAGGCATCCCTTGTTGTTGTTGAAACATCCCTGGTTGCCCCATATCTGAACATAGAGGGATGAATAATTAGACAATAAAATGAGAACTGATTATCGTAAGAAAGCAAAAAGTTTCATCTTTTATGCTGTTTTATTCATTGTAATACTATCTTTAGAATAAGAAAATCTAAAATGTCCCTTATATAATATAGCATTCCAGGAGAGAGTTTTAACAATCCTGCAGTCAAGTGATATCCATTATCCTTATTCAAAAAAAGGAAATATGACAGACTTTTTAGAAAAAACTGTGATTGGAGAAATTAACTTCAAACGAACACCTTTGTTGTGCCTCATGTTGTGAACTCATATAAATATTCATTGTAAAATACTTCTGTATGTTAAACATCCTGGGTAAAACAATTATGTACGAGTATATGAAACATTCAGAGTGAAACGATCCATCTGTTAAACATTCAGGGTAAAACACTTCTGTATGTTTAACATTCAGTGTAAAAGACTTCTTTGTGCTACACATCTGTGTTTTGGACACATTAAAATAAATAAAAGAGCGTTTTTAAAACCTTTCATCTATAGATGTTAATTGTTCACTGGTTTTATTCATCAACATCTTTACTGTTGTGTCCATGTAAAATAACATGATACACAGACTATAATATATGTAAGCCAAGATTATAGAATCAGACCGGTTGTCCCCTCAATGTCATCTTGATATTAAATTGAGTTTAACCATATGCTAAATATAACAACAATACTAACTGAAATAGAAAATATTGATTAAACCTGCAATAGTAAAAATTATTTAATCAATCAACATGACAAGAATCATAAAGCATTAAATGTACATGACAAGAGTGATAAAGCGATAAAATATTAATTTAATGATGCAAAGATGTCTTGCATCGGGCCCTTGTTTTAACCTCCCAATATCTATACTTGGGGGGAAGGATTGATGCAGGATAAATATAGAAAAAAAAACTAACCTGGGGATCCAATGGCTGGTGGACTGGATACATCTGGTTGTGCTGGCGCAGCCTGCAAAACAACAAATAGGAAGCCCAGTGTAAATTAAAGAGCATTTATAGGCCTAAACATTTGTCATATTTCTTAGTTCTATAAAAGCTGGAACCAAGGTCACAAAGAAATTATGTAATCCATGCATGCACTAATATTCAGTGAAGAAACATCCTGTAATAAAATCCAAATTATTGGAACAAACCAACTGATTACATTATGTATTTCTTAACTATCTGATGCCTCCATGCTTATTAACTTGATCCCTGTAACTCTACCATTTAGCTCCCTATTTTGTACATGAATTCAATATGACATACTCCTGTATCAGACACCTGTGCATCTATCTGCTCCATACTGCTCTGTAATACTCTATGTCAGCAATCCCATAAATTGCACTAGATAATACCGTCTTTTTGCTACACTTTCAATAGTGACATAAACTCAATTAAGTTTTTATCACCAAGTTCAATGCAAGGTCCATGTGATCGAAATACATCTAGGTCAAGTCTTTTTAAGAAGATCCTAAGATTATTAATTTATCTTCTGCATAGGTTTAAAACTAAGTAATATTAGATGTCGGGGTGACCGTAGTTTACTCTGTAATTATCTACATCCAAGGTTTGCTATTGTTATACAACTACAAAATGGAGACATAAATAAACTAATAATTGTAGTTATTGATCATTGTACAGTAAAACCTGTGACATATGAACATATCAATATTAACATTTTAAGGACACAATTGAAAGCATTTTGTACATGCCTGGTCTTTGGAAAAAATGAACAAAGGGGAGTAGGTAATTTCTTCAAATGTTAAAATCTGTAGGGTTTTCTAGGATTCTTTTTCTTAACTGATATGCTTCTAATTAGGATGTGAGATCTATTTAAAAAGTGAAATGTCACCAGCATGAAAAACTCAATATTTTTGTTATAAATCAACAAGTGGTAGTCTACATGTCCTGTAATATGCATATGTATGAAGTTATTGTCACAGAGATTGGGAGGGAATAAACTATCTAGAATTACTCTCCCCTCTGTTCACTGTAAATTTATGATTGTTTTCTAAGTAATTTCTAAAAAACAGCAATGTCATACATTTTGTGATGATAACGTCAGTTATTAGTATTTATAACAGGTCATGTAGACCTCCACTGCTTGATTTCTAGCAGAATATATTTTTACTATTTTATCATCTCTAAAGCACAATGTGGCTTTAATTTGAGAATACATAACAAGTAAATTAACAACTGAAAAATCAATATTCTGTTCAAATGAAAAAAAAATTAACCTGTATCAAACTGGGTCTCAACTGTGCAATTGTATACAAAGGTGTTTTATTAGACAGGTTTTACTGTATATTGCCATCAAGCTATTTTAATAATGATATGATACTACCTGAGACACATTAATCATATTTGTCTATCTAAGGCGTATCTTATTGATGAACCATTTGATTTAACTTGGAAAATAATAATCTTAGTCTTAAAACATGAGACATTTATATGTATCTGTCTATATTATCTATTAAGGGATTTTTGGTTAAACTATTTGATTCTATACTTAGACTGGTAATGATATCACAAAGGAATTCAAGAACCATTACAATTCAGGGCATGCACTTAAAGATCAAACTCAATTGAGCAAAAAAGGATTTTGAAAAATCAACTCTTTTTCCAAACCAAAATATGAAAATGGAAGCTATTTCATATACCCATTTCTGAGTATAATTTTTCAAATCATCAATGAGATGACAAAATTTCTCATTTTCAAAAACATAAAAGAGACAGTGATTATGATATTATGGAATTATGAGACAACAATTTTGTTCTAGACCAAAGCATTCATTCATTTGTCTTGGTAAATTTAGTTATATTTTATGACTGTAGCATCCTTAAAATAAATGAATCATCCCTAATAATCACTATACTTGTATCATATGCTATTTTATTGGTTTCATTATTCTTACATATTACCTTTTAATAATAAGACTGACTTGACATCTATTGTTGTGAAAGGTTAAATAAAAACACATGTCTATAATTCCTGTTGATGGTCTGGCCAACATATGAAGAAAAATTCAGTGATCATTCATAATTGAAAATTTTGATGAATTATACATGAATGAAAAATTATAAAGGTCCTGGTTCCTCAGTAAAAAAAGTTGTGATCAACAAATAGGATTTTTTCTCATTAGATGCTAAATCCTAACACATCTCGATGAAAAATATCTTATTCGTCATCCCTCAGCCTTAGGATTAGGGTGCAAAACTTTTTGAACAGGGTGACATTAATATTCAGATTTTTCACCTGGTTGCTGTAATGATGGGGAGACTGAAAATTATTTTTACACAACTTACCTGTAAATAGTGCTGGTGGAGCCGATTCACCAAGTCTGCTTTCAACCCTGTAAAATATAAAACAAAATATTTGTGAGCATTTCTACTACATTTTATACATTACTTTACTTAGAAATAAAATGTCATGTACAAATAAAATATCAGCTGGGCATTATGATTTTAATGGTCATCAAACATCTTAAACATTGAACTATATTGTTCTCCATGAAAGTCAAGCTTTTAAAGTATCAAATCCCACAATTACTGCTTTGCATCAATAGTTTCAGTTCATTTAACAAGATTTGACAAATATTAGCATTGATTGTCATTCTCTTGAACTATAAACATATTTCAACCTAATATAGCCTTGCCCAAGTCTCTTTTACTTATCTTGATTTCTATTATGACCCCCTTGTACCCAAGAGAAAGCCACGTGCTTTACCGACCCAATATTAATGTCGGTAAAATTTGACCAATCAACAACGGCGCTGCAGCGTTAGCTCATTATTATGCACAATCAAAAACAAGTACACTTTTCACCAGGACTTTTCACAAACAAATCTTACACGAATTCATCATGAAAATACAAATATTTTATCAGATAAGTGTCAATCAGAGTTTAGTGGATGCCGGAGCATCGATTGGATAATCGGATGTGAGAAGTTTTCAACAATAAAGGTTGAAACGATCAGTGAATTCAAAAAATCGAACATGTAGGCTGCAATTCAATCACTGATCGACGACTACGTGGCCCGCAACATGGACTAGGTCTTCGTGCATTTCATCGCAAAATCAGTTTTAAATCAACATTGGATCGCATGATTTAATTTATATTAATGACTCTTACATTCCAATGTACATTAATTAATTACATAATATATTGTAACTCTAAAGAAATACTCGATCAGATCATTGAATTTCAAGTGGTAGACGGGAAGTTTACATTGTTTATGCAGGTCAACCTGATAACGTTTTGATTGGTCAATCAGCCTGAAGTCACACGTCGTGTCCATGCGATCTTGTCAATCAATAAGGTTTCGTGGTACCTTTGATAGCGTAGATATTATGGAAATCTCGAAACCGCTGAATAACTCAGCATAATATCAGCGGAGATGTATTGGATTGTACAAGGCGGTAATAATTCAAGATCAGATAAGTAAAAAAATACCTACTTGGGCAAGGCTAAACCTAATATTGAATCTATGAACCCTGGAGGACAAATATATATGGCTGTCATTTTTCAAAAGTTAAGACTTGGGTTAGATTTTCCATTTTGACCTTTGGCAAATACTTGTATATTGCTAGTCACGCTGGTAATCAGACAAAATGAATGGAAGGGGATTCAGTGATTTTTGCTAGATAATGCAACAAATCTTGAAGATTTATTTTTTCATTAGAAAGTTTACTACTGAATTGCTAAATGGATAGGCACATGACACAGTAAAATATATTAAGATTTTTTTAACAGATAAGCTTCTAAGATATGAGATAAGACCAACATGCATAAGTCAATGTTTTTGCAATAAATCAGGCAATAATGGTCTACACAACCTGTAATAAATTACATGCAAATGTGGTGTTTTGTTTATAAAATTGATGTTGAAATGTGCCAAACATTTTGTCAAGTTTTCATGGAATTAAGATATATTTCCCGGGAATCAATACATTCCAAATAAATTACTATTTGTTCAGAAGATTTGTGATTTATCTATGTCGTAGTTAGACTGGAAACAAATATGGTGGACAGTACATACGATTTTTCAAGATTCCTCAATTTGTTTTTGTTCTGAATAAATCTTGTACTGAATAGAATAAGCAGCCAAAATTTCTTGATATTCTACAAGATTACACACAGATTGCAGAAGAATTTTTCTTTTTGCTACATTAAATGTTTCTTATTGATTAGCAGCCATCCAAAAATGGAAACCTACAAAATGTAATACTAAGAACAAACACGTCAGGTATATCTTTTAATGACTAACGTCTATTCAGATATAAGCGCGCGCATATTGTACACTGAAAAAGTAGTATGTTTCTTCAAGGGTAAATACACATATTGTTCTATTGGAGCTTGTTTGGCCCAGACCAATGAATGATATTTCAGATTCCAGGAGTAGATAAATGGGCCAGAAAGATTGGTTTCTCTGATCCAGACTAAGCGATAATCTGACAATAGGCCTGATCAATGATAAAGCAAAATAACTTACTCGCGTCTCTAGCCAATTCTTGGCTAGAAGTAAATTCATCTGGAACACTGTGAACCATTTGAAAAAAGCTAATGGCCGGCATGTTATAAATTTATTAAATATTCTAAAAATCGCCAGATAAATAAATCATCAATTAAAATGGAACTGGCTGGGCTCCTTGATGAGATATTGCATCATTTCGTCAGGATTTCGTCTAAATTTAAAATAAATAGCTCCAAGAAAAATGGCGATATTTCGAAAACTTGATGAAATGTTGTTATTGTCTGACACTAGTAACTGGCTGTAAATTCTAAGTTAGCTATCCAGAAGATGTGATAATAGAGTACTTCATCATTACTTACACTAAAATGCGGAAAAAGTGGCACATTTTGTAATTCAGTGCATTATCACGATAAATATCTATCATTTGGTACTTTCCACATTATACTAAATTGATGAATGAAGAAGGAAATGTCTGAGTTTAAAAAGATTTTTTCAGCGATAGCTTCTGCACAGTTTTTATGCGCGTCTGATCTCTTCGACCAATCAGAAATCTCGAATAGATAAATCGAGAGCACAATCAGAATCAATGATAAAAAAACGTTTCGGGGTCTATCAAGAAGGAATATCAGGATGTTCTGGATTTTCGATCTCGGCTACAGAAATATGCCATTATCTTCAGGTTTTCAAGCACAGACGTCAAGTACGTTTCTGGCGAAAGCTGGAGCATAGATTTTTTAAGAGGACTGGAAACAAGATGGCAGTCTATTTCAATTCTGCCAATTCGTGTTGGCCTATTTATCACTATTGACTCAGTTGTTCATGTAGTTTTACTAACCTTAGATGCTTAGTAATCTATTTAGTATAATATTGTTTCCAAAACTATTGTCACTTGCGAAAATTAGTACTAAAAGTACTTTGAACAGGTCAGCTGCCATTTGCTTGGCTGATCGCACCAGTTCACAAAAACAGTGAAATCATATTAAAAATACCAATAAAACTTTAAAATTGAGGCAGATGCGATACAAAAAGACTCTATTAATACAGATATACAGGTTACAGTCACCAAGATGAGCTAATTTCAGGCGAGATTCGGGAAATAAAAAGGTAGGTCATTCTTGTTTCCAGTCCTCTAAATAATCTATGCTCCGGTTTTCACCAGAAACTTACTTGACGTCTGTGTTTTCAAGTCTGACTTGATTCCAGATCACCGCTGTGGCAAGTGCTCCATCAAAATTGTTTGCCAGATGTATTTTCTGATGGCATTTGGCAAATGGCGATCGCTTATCCGACACACTGCCCCTATACAGCAGTAAAAAACATGCAGGGATTTATCTTTGGACGAAGGCCACGCTATAGGACCCCGATATAGTGGCCTTAGAAGAAGGTAAGAAATAACGTAATGCGCATGTTCGATAACAAAAAGGAGAATCATCTATTATAATATATAATAAAAACGTAAAGGCTAGAGTACCGACAATTGTCGGTACTCTAGACTCTGATGTGGTGACACGCTAGAGGACCGACAAATAAATTGTCGGTACGGGAGATATGCTGTGTTTACACGCTAGAGGACCGACAAATATTGATTTTCGAATTTTCTGGCGCATGCGCAATGCGAGGGGGGATATTTCAGATATCATACGGATATTTTGGGAACAAGTGCAAAACCCGGGGAGGGCATTAGCCCCGGTTACCCGGGGATTACCAAACCCAGTCAAAAAATGGTAGCCCGGGAACAGGGAATGGTAGTAAACGTTGAAAACCCAATAAAAAAACATGAACAAGTAAGACGTTAGAGAGCTATTAATGCAGAGTAAACGGCTATATATATTCTAAACAGACAGGATATTTCTCCTGAGCCGATCAGGCGTAGAAAGGGGCGTTTGCTACCCATTAGATAGAAGAAAATTGCTAGAATGTTTTTTATTTAGAGTTTATCGTATGGTATGAGGTTCCATATCCATCCGCCAAAAGGTATATAGTCCATTTAAAAACCTGTGGTATCATTCTAAATAACCCATAGTTGGCGTCTAGGGTACCTAGTATGCCACTATTTGGTATCAAAATAAAGAAGAGTTCAACTTTCATTTAAATTACGAAAATAGCGATGTAGGTCAAAATAGTTCCGAACGTGAGTATGTTTACTACGCGTTTGCCCGTCATATCAGAGTTGAGGAAGTGGTAGCAAACGCGAGTTACAATAAACGGACGCTGATATCTCAAAAAGTAACCTGACTCCCTATAATTTGATGTAGGTCAATCGAACCCCTATATGGACAGGTGCATTTTGATATATAACACTATGGGGGTAAGCGTTTCATAGTTGGTCACGAACGCCATATGAGCAAAGTATTGTTATGAATTTTCGAATTTGGTGTTGGATTACGGTACTCATACCTTATAGCACAATTTTTGATGGAAGTTGCATTTGGCTCCCAGTTAGTCAATTATGGCCACGATTCCATCTCGCATGAGAGAGCTACCAAACACAAAGTAAACAGTGATATATTCCAAATGAGATATTTCTCCTGTGCCATGGCGTAGTAAGGGTAGAGGTCGACGAGGGCGAAAGCATCCCCTCCCCTAATTGTATATATCGACCAATAAGATAGAACAAGAAAAGAGCTTTAAAATGTTTTTTAATTGAAGCTTGTAGGACAATTTTGATTGAAGTTGAATCAATTTTTGTCGAAATAAATTATGGCTCACTACAAGTTAATGCCTGTACGATTCCATACTGCAAAAGAAGCACTATGCCCCCCCCTCAAAAGAAAAATGTAGGTCCTGCCGGGATTCGAACTCGGGACCGAGCGTGTACGAGTCGTGCTCGCTAACCACTAGACTACCAGTGATGAGGTTCTTTGTGAAATAAAAGTAGTAGATTTATTTATGAAATTGTCGGCTCTCTAGCAAAAACACGTAGCAGCCACTTGCGTACCGACAATTGTCGGTTCTCTATCTGACACTACTAGGTGACGATAGAGTGCCGACAATTGTCGGTACCCCAGCAAATACCCCTGGACAGTCTCCAGTACCGACAATTGTCGGTCCTGGAGCCACTCCGTAATAAAAAACACCGACCTAGGAAATCCCTTGTTGCATTAATAAGTTTATTTCCTATTGTATGTTTTTGTTATGAAATTATTTTTTTTAAATTTTTAAGTTTTTCTATCCAAAATTTAGGTGTCACACTCAAGCCTTCTTCTACAAAAATGTATTAGTACTATTCCTGGTATATGAACGTACCTGTTGTCGTCAGTCCCACTGCAGTTAGCTTCTGCTTGAGGTCAACAACCCTCAATTTCTGCAACTCGGTTTTCGAGCTTCCTTCCTCCATGTTTTCGATAAACTAACGTGGGTTACCTTTTACCCTGACCTATATTCCGGACTTGTGATTCGTGGTGAAGAAAACTCTGCTTTATTCTACTATTTTGCTCGAGGAAGTGAGCCAGGATAGTGACTTAATCTAAAGATGTCAACATTTCCAATGTGTTAGTGTAGTGTTAGGGAATGCTATGGTATCCGATTCATAATAACAAGTGATTTAGAAACCGAAAGTGAAAGTAGTCTAATGCATTGTGGGAAAAAGCCGGACTCCAAGATGTCGGCAGTTCGAAGGGTTGCAAAATCAGCTAAAAAGGTCGTAGACAAGGTGAAACATGGGCCATTTATGGCGTTAGATATACCTGCTGGAAAGGCAACCCCTGCTCCACCACTTGGTCCAACATTGGGACAGGTAAACATGCTAAATGATAAGTTATTTATAAAATACACTCATTATCGCCCACTTTATGGAGTTTTTTATTTATTTTCAATTGTGTAGGCCTATATGGCCTAGGTATGATGGAAAACTTTGCATATTTTTGGACACACGTATTGATTTGACGGTGTTATTTTCCACCTGGATACACAAAATGAACTTGTGGAGTGTGAACATCCAAAACGGATTTACGAAAAAACAGAAACTTGAGGACCCGCCGTTGCTCCATCACGATGGTCTGAATTCCATTGGTCTAAATCCAAATGGTATAAATCCCAATCGTCCAAATTCCAATCTTCCAAATCCCCATCGTTTGAATCTAATCCTAGTCTTCCAAACCCAATTGGTCAGAATCCCAATTGGAGACCCTTTCTGTTGCAAGACTAACGCCTGGCGTAACTGTCATCATGTTATTCAGTGTTTTTTAAGTAGCGCAAGGATCCTGCCGTGACCGTGGTAATGTTATCGTGAAAGCCTGGTATAACCGCGACAATGCTGTATTATATTGCAATGCCTGCCATGACCGTGACAATGTAATATAGTTCTGCAAGGCTTGGTATGACCGTAACAATGTAATATAGTACTGCAAGGCCTGGCATGACCGTGACAATGTAATATAGTATTGCAAGTTCAGGTATGAGAGTGGTAATGTAGAAATTTAGGATTAGGACTGCTATAACCGTGACAATGTGTATTGCAAAGCCTGGCATGACCATGGCAATGTAATATAGTATTGCAAGGCTTGGTATGACCGCCATGGCAATGTGATATAGTATTCCAAGTTCGGGTATGAGAGTGGTAATGTAGAAATTTATGATTGCTATAATTGACCGTGACAATGTGTATTTGAAAACCTGGCATGACCATGACAATGTATTATGGGATCGCAAAGCCTGGTATGACCGTGACAATGTAATATACACTCCCCCCAGTTTTCTGCAAGTTAAAATGCTCAATTCTGCAAGTGAAATTAGTGAATTCTGCAAGAAGAAAGGGCTAATTCTGCAGAAATTCCGCGGATATTCGCGGCATTTTTTTGCGGTTATTATAAAAAAAATCAAGAACTGTTCTTTGGTTTGCTGAAATTTTAGAGGAATGTGTTGGTTCTTTTATTTTTTTTACGAAACGATCCATTTTAAATGTTTTATTCAGATTTTATTTCAAATTTCACATTTTTCGAAACTTCAAACACGGAGGATCGGGTGCATAATGGGAATCACGATATATGTAAATCAGGTTTTAAGTGTAATATCTCATTGGAGTTCGAAGTTTTCGATCAATAACTTAATAATATAAATAACTGTTATTAATTTATGTCTTTGTTTAACTTTCTGACGAGAACCGAAAGAAAAACTAATGGTTTTCGAACCAGTAAACGGGAAAATATCGTGATAGTCAGGTAGTCAGTCTCAGTCACTACATACATGCTGCCATCTAACGGCAGAAATCAAACGATGGCGTTTAGAATTTTCACTTCGCATAATTTGGGTTATTTCTGCAAGGGATTTGACTGAAAACGTGTCAAATTGTTACAGGTAAGACTGACTTTTTAAACTTTTGGAAAATATATGGATTCTGCGGAAAATTCCGCGGAAATTGACCAAAATAGTTGATTCTGCAATTCCGCGGGCAGAGGCAAATTCCGTCCGCGCTCTGCAAACACGGAATCCTGGGGGCAGTGAATATAGTATTGCAAGGACAGGTATGAGGGTGGTAATGTAGAGATTTAGGCTTAGTTCTACTATGACCGTTATAATGTATTGCAATGACTAGTAAATATGTATGACATTAATGCCAGGAATATCCTTAACAATTTTAAGTGATCCTCATTACAATTAAACAGTTTAATACTATGATCATGGTGTTTAACTACCTTAATCATGTCAAAATCAAAATTACTACTATACATTAATATTCACATTCGCTTATAAACCACAATAAAGGCTACGGTCGCGCCAGGCTTCCACGATAACACTTCCAGGGTCATGACAGGCCTTGCAATAGAATACAGCATTGTCACGGTTATACCAGCCTGTCACGGTTATACCAGGTTTACACGATAACACTACCACGGTCATGGCAGGATCCTTGCGCTTCTTAAAAAACACTGATTAACATGGCGACGGTTGTGGCAGGCGTAAGTCTTGCAATAGATAGCATGTGCCCAATTGTCTGAATCCTAATCATCCAAACCCCAATCATTAAAATCCCAATCGTCCGAATCCCAAATGTCTGAATCCCTATGGTTAGAATACTACTTGTCCGAATCTCATTCGTCTGAATCCTCATCATTACGTTTTTCCTCTTTTCTGTACAGGTTAGAATATGCAAAGTTTTCCATCATACCTGGGCCATATAGGCCTACACAATTGAAAATAAATAAAAAAGGGTTACAGCAAAGGTTTGCCCATTGCACAGTAGCAACCACTGAAGCATGTCGTTAAAGTACACTCTGCTAGACAGGTAAAAAATTGAATGAGGTATATTGCCAAATATCAGAATAATTTCCTAAAATGACAAAGATATGAAGAAAATAGCAGCAAGGTTTCCATTTTTTGACCACCCTGTATTTTATGTTTGTTCATTAACAAATATTTTAAGAGCTGCAAGCAGAAATAAAGCCAAACGTTGACTTAACTTGGCAGCAAAGAATACAAAGTTTAAAATGCTAAAGGTAATATTTCCAATAAACGATTGGATTCGGCCCATTGGAATTTGGACTATTTTGATTCAGGCGATTGTAATTTGGACGATTGTGGTTTGGCCAATTGGGGTTAAGGACCATTGGGATTCAGACGATTAGGATTCGGACCAATTAGATTCGGACCATTAAAGATTCAGACCATATATCTTTTTTTCATCCCAATATATTCAAACATACATCCACGACATTCTCTCCAGGTCAGAAATGGCAAGTACGTGCTGAATTGGAAACTGAACATGAATATAATGAAGTTACGTCCAATAAGTTACCTTATGGCCTAAAAATAAAATGAAATGGCATAAAAGTGGTGTTCTTGTCCAATCTTTCCAATTTGCTTATGCTTGGTGAATTGTCCCTTTGTTATACAGACATGACAGATGGGGACATGCTCCAAATCTATGATACAGACATGAATTTCAAAAAATGACAAATCCGTCTGAGTTTTTATGTCACCACCAAAAGTGGTGACATATTGTAATGGTCTCCGTTTTTTGCGACGGCGGTTGGTGGTTGGCGGTTGGAGGTTGGCGTCCGGCGTCTGTAACAATTTCTTACAACTTCCTATAACTTAACAAATACTGTTTAGACTGACTTCAATTTTTTTCTAAATCATCTACATGTTCTCAGAAGTTCAAATCTGACTTTAGATTTGACATTTGACCTTCAATGACCTTCTCAAGGTCAAAAAGGTCTTTTTTCAACTTGCTTCACATTGACTAAATTTTTTTTCAAAATCATCTACATGTTCTCAGAAATTCAAATCTGACTTTAGATTTGACTATAGATTTGACATTTGACCTTCAAATCTGACTTTAGATTTGACATTTGACCTTCAATGACCTTCTCAAGGTCAAAAAAGGTCAAAAAGGTCTGTTTTCAACTTGCTTCAAATTGACTAAAAAATTTTTTCAAAATCATCTACGTGTTCTCAGAAATTAAAATCTGACTTAAGATTTGACATTTGACCTTCTCAAGGTCAAAAAAGGTCAAAAAGGTCTGTTTTCAACTTGCTTCAAATTGACTAAAAAAAAATTTCAAAATCATCTACGTGTTCTCAGAAATTCAAATCTGACTTTAGATTTGACTTAAGATTTGACATTTGACCTTCAATGACCTTCTCAAAGTCAAAAAAGGTCAAAAAGGTCTTTTTTCAACTTGCTTCAAATTGACTAAATTTTTTTTTTCAAAATCATCTACATGTTCTTAGAAATTCAAATCTGACTTTAGATTTGACATTTGACCTTCAATGACCTTCTCAAAGTCAAAAAAGGTCAAAAAGGTCTTTTTCCAACTTGCTTCAAATTGACTAATTTTTTTTTTTCAAAATCATCTACATGTTCTTAGAAATTCAAATCTGACTTTAGATTTGACATTTGACCTTCAATGACCTTCTCAATGTCAAAAAAGGTCAAAAAGGTATTTTTTCATCTTGCTTCAAATTGACTAAATTTTTTTTTCAAAATCATCTACATGTTCTCAGAAATTCAAATATGACTTTAGATTTTACATTTGACCTTCAATGACCTTCTCAAGGTCAAAAAAGGTCAAAAAGGTCTGTTTTCAACTTGCTTCAAATTGACCAAATTTTTTTTTCAAAATCATCTACATCTTTTCAGAAGTTCAAATTTGACTTTACAAGTTCTCAGAAGTTCAAATCTGACTTTAGATTTGACCTTTGACCTTCAATGACCTTCTCAATGTCAAAAGGTATTTTCCAACTTGCTTTAAATTGACCAAATTGTTTTAGGTGGTGACATTTTGTCATGTTAATGCCTTGTTTCCTTTTTGCTCTGGTTTTTATGTTTAAAATCAATATATAAAAAAAGTATATAAATCAGGGATATATTTAAGTCTACTCGAAATTGGGCTAAAAAACAGCAATTCTCCGCTGTTCTTCTGCTATTCTTTGCTGTTCCACTTTATTTTCAGAGAGGAATCCAAATTGCCCAATTCTGCAAACAGTTCAATGAAATGACACGAACTATAAAGGAGGGTACTCCCTTACCTACCAGAATCACTGTTAATGTAAGTATAATGCAATGTGTCTTAGTGTGAATATTTGAATCAGATTCTTTTTCCTCAATCAATCTTCACCCTGAAGAAAAAACACTTGTTTTCTCCTCATGTGGTTAAAAGATGACCTTTTTTAACCACATTTTTACCACTCAATATATGTTTAAGTGTGGTTGTGGTCACCTGTTTTGACATTCATAAAAGTGTAGCCCCCGCTGGTATTTCTTCCACAATTCCAAGAAATATCTCCCCATAGTTTCTCCTCATAATGAGAAAGTGTGGTTAAGGTGTTCCTGAAACTATGGGTGAGCAGGACATTAACTTAAATATGATTTAAAGTTACCATAATATTGTTATAGGGGTTAAAAGGGTTAATGCTTGTTAAATATATTTTTGGATTTACTGTACATGATAAGTTATACCTGTTATTCTGGTATCTAAATTGTTTCATGCATCTTTTTCATCATCAAACAAATATTTTATTAAACATATGTGACACAAATGAGAATGTTGTATGATTGAAGCATGATTTATTTGTCTCAATTATTATTGATTTATTGGTGTATATTTTAATCTTTGATTATCCCAGACTTTAATCTCTACAGGATATTTCAGTGAAATGCCTCAATTTGTGGAAACTGGTGACCTATGAAAGTGAACTGTTGACAATACCAATCAATTAAATTTCAATATGCTCCCATACCAATTAATTTGTACAATAGTATTACACCACAAAGCCATATCAAATGTCAAATAGGGACCCAATACCAAACTAATTGTCTAAATATAAGACCAAATATCTGGGAAACAATCAAAATCAACCTCAATTTTTATTCACTATCAACTGAGACCATCATAAAAAATTTTATGTTAGTCTCAGCTATCAAAGAGGATGATGTTTGAATATGACTATTCAACGTTCATTGAAGGATGCTTGGCACCTTTTGCCTGACTGTGACCAATGACAATTCTGCAATAAACTTTGTAAAATATATAAAAAGTGTAAGCTCTGAAGATTAATAACAGTAATAAATAAAATTAGTATTTGCTATTCATACCAAGGTTAAGATTGAGTCTATTGCCGAAGTAGGGTGGGTTGTTCTATTATGAGAAATCTAACAATTTTAAGCAGTGTAAAAACTAAATTGAATTAAAAGAATTCCATTATATATAAAAACCACTGACCATAAGATTCAAAGGTGTGGGTCGTGTGTGGTATGAGTGTGGTTTGGAGATGGTATAAGAGCAGTACAGGTATGTGTGATATATAATATGAATAAAAAGTGTGGTCTAAAAATGTGGGAAAAGTGTGGTCTTTAAGTCAACAAACCCAAAATTGTTTACAGAAGTTAAAACAACAATGTTCAGTTCCACAGCTAGGACAAAATGAGTTTACTCAGATCTAGCTCAGATATAGATTTAATGAAAATAAGCATCCAAGATCCATAATTAAACTTATAATTATTATCCCATCGAACGAAGTTCGGAGGGATATAGGGAACGCCTCCTCTCCAATACAGGAGAATGTGATTGTAATACATCTGAATTTAAGGATGAAGACCATGGTCACGTCATAACAGGAAATCTGAAGATTATACAAAATTCAAAATTGAGAAAGCTATTTAGTAAAGGTCCTGGCTATAGAGAAAAACGAAACATTAACTTCAGGAAAGCGAAAGACGAAATAAAGAAAGGAATAGATGAATATGCAATAAGTTGGACAAAAAATGAAAAAGTTTCAAAAGTATACTTAAATGAATGGAAAAATACTGTAATGGAAAAGGTTAAACAAAAGATTGAGTTACTTCAAAATACAAAATTTAGACATATTAAAAATCCAAAGCAGACACTAAAGGACCATAATGCTATGGAAGAACTCAATCAACTCAAGGAAAAATATGCCATTGTACCTATTGATAAGGCAGCAAATAATATTGGGTTTATGTGCAAACAATACTACATAAAGAAGATTAAAGAGGAAATTGGGAGTGACACCTATCAAAGGATAGAAGATAAAGGAGAAGAAGATATAGTGGAGGAAATCAAAGAGACGATGAAAACAAAATTCAAGATTGAACCGGGAGAAGAACAAAATATTATACCAAGGATTCATCTTACAATTAAAATGCATAAACAGCCAATTAAATTTAGATATATCATTGGCTCAAAGAAAAGTTCTGTAAAACCAGCTGCCAAAAAACTGACCAAAATTCTTAAACTAGTGCAATATACTAACAAAAGATACTGTGAGAAGATAAAAGATTATACAGGTGCCAATAGGATGTGGATCAGTGACAATAACCAAAATATGTTAGATAACATTAAAAGTGTAAATTTAAGGAACGGGGCAAGAAACATAGCCTCGTATGATTTCTCTACACTATACACAAAGATTAATCTAACTGACATAAAGGAAAAACTGAAATGGGTGATAGATAAAGCCTTCAGAGGAGGAACTAACCAAAAGATAACAGTAGGTGGAGATGAAGCCAAATATGAGCCTGATATGAAGAACATCTATCCTGAAGAACTAGTGTTAAACAAGGAAAATGAGAAGGATACAGAAACAACTTTTCTGGACATACAAATGAAAATAGTAAATAAACAAATCACTACAAAACTATACGACAAAAGGGAAAACTTCAATTTCCAAATAGTCTCATATCCTGATCTATCTGGAAATATTCCTAGAAACCAATCTTATGGAATATTTATATCACAAATAATAAGGATTTCAAGAATCTGCAGTCAACTGGAAGATGCAACAAACAGAGTTACCAGCCTGGGAAATAAACTACAATGTCAAGGCTACAGGAGCAACATACTAAATTCGTATACTAAGAAAGCTATAACAAGAAATAAATGGATATGTACTAAATACAATATGCAGGAGAATATCATCATGAAGGACTGGAAAATTAATGAGAGAAGAGAACATTAACAAATGAATATGAAACAGTATCTTCTCCGCAAAGAGGGTAAACTAAGATGACAAATCAGCATAAGACCAACAGTAAGGGGAAGGGGAGAGTTTTCCGGCCGGATCAAAACGTTTAACCCACCTATGCGCAGTCTCAAGTCTGTGGACCCTGAAGAAAGATAAGTAACATCGCAATCAAATCAAGACAATGAAAGAAGAAAATGAATGAAGAAACCAATGCAGCAACAACAAATGACGTCCGTCCGTCCGTGCGTCCGTCCGGGCAATAACTCAAATACCGTTGACCCAATTTTGTTCATATTTTGTACACATATACCCTATGGGGGTAGAAGTTCTGCTCGAAAGCCGATTTTCAAAATGGCCGCTCATTTTAAAATGGCGGCCATTTTAGTGCCGATTTTACAGTAATTTAGGTGTAATATGTAAAACTGTAATAGCAATATGTTTTAAATGTAAAAAAATTATAAAGGACATTAATAATGCTACAAATGTAGATATTAAAGAAGCACATGGCAGCCATCTTGAAAAATGGCGGCCTTTACTCTACATTTTACGATTTTTGCTATAACTCAAAAAATAGTGGAGCGATTTTGTTCATATTTGGTATGTGAATACTATAAGCATTGCACACTGTCTAAAAACACTTTTGGTAGAAGGCGGCCATTTTGAAAAATGGCCGCCATTTTAACGTATTTTACTATAACTCGAAAAGTAGTGGAGTGATTTTGTTCATATTTGGTATGTGAATACTATAAGTATGGCACACTGTCCTATGACACTTTTGGTAGAAGGCGGCCATTTTGGAAAAATTTTGAAAAATGGCCGCCATTTTAACGTATTTTACTATAACTCGAAAAGTAGTGGAGTGATTTTGTTCATATTTGGTATGTGAATACTATAAGCATGGCACACTGTCTATTTCTAATGACACTTTTGGTAGACGGTGGCTATTTTGAAAAATGGCCGCCATTTTAACATATTTTACTATAACTCGAAAAGTAGTGGAGCGATTTTGTTCATATTTGATATGTGAATACTTTAAGCATGGCACATTGTCTAATAAAACTTTGGGGAGTAGTTGGCCATTTTGAAAAATGGCCACCATTTTTATGTGTGTAATTTTACAAGTATGTGTGAGATTTTTCAAAAATTTTAGAGGTGGCTACTTAAAAGCATATTATTTCTTCTGATGACAACTTGGCTAGTGAGCAACCATTTTGAAAATGGTGGCCTTTCTGGTGTGTTGTTTTATGATATTTGCTATTCGTTTGTAAAAATGCCAGCCATTTCTGTTCGATGGGATTCGCTACGCTTTGGCGTTGCCGTTGTTCTGGTTAATCAAATGATTAATTATTATCAAATAATTATAAATTAAAATGGACACATTGAAGTGAGGAGCCTGAACTGAACATACAGAGGCAATCAGAACATGCCATCTAGATAGATACAGAAAAGTATCATTTAAAGCTCTGTAGATGGATTGAATTATCAGTTAACCTCCTTACAAATCTGGAATATGGTCCCCAAGCACAATAATGTACATTACAAATGTTTACTATAAAGGAAAGATATGTAAGACCTTTACTGAAAATGAGAATAATGGAAGAAAAATAAACTTTGACCAGTTCACGAAAAAAGATCACATGATTATGAAGATAAATATCTCCCACAAAATCCATCAACTTGGGTTGTTGCTATAGGACAACCTACTATCAACCTTTGGTATCAACTTAAGATGTGTTTTTCAGAATCTCACAGTTTTCACTAAAACTGCTTTTAATAATCTGTCCATATAACTGTAGCTTTAAGGGTGATTAAGTACAAAATATGTCATGGAAAATATACTGAAATTAAAGTTAAATAAAATTCACATTGCTAGGTTTCCTCATTCGCATGAATTTAGGGTTTTTGAAAAGATATTTAGGACTCAATTTAATAACAAGTTAACGGACTTATTGAACTATTGTTTTTATAAACATATCTGGAACATCCTTTTCTTATTTAATCATTAGATTTACTCTTCATTACAATTATAATCTTATTATTAAAATTAACATTGATATAATTCAAATAAATTCACTAACTACAGGTACAACTTTTATTCTCGTAATTCTACAAGTCTTTGATGTCTAAGAAATAATAAAATCATGTCTGGACTATATTTTAACATTGATTACATGTATTTGTACAGCAGACACATCCTGTTATTCTTTGATTAGTCTTATAATAAGATTAGTCAGTTCAGTCAAAATAAGCGTCCCTTTAGAATAACTAATTTAAAATACTTTGTTTTATATTCATGCAAACTTCTGATCTCCCTAAATAGAAAAGTCAAGCATCATCTGAGCTTTCAATAGCAGGGGGCGATTGTCCGAAATCGCCGTTTGTTTTCGATAATTTGCCGTTTGTTTGAAGTCAAATATAGTTTTGGGGGAAAATAAAAGTTTTCTATAGACTATCCTTTATTTTATTCAGCGATCTTGTTTTGCACTTCCTTGTCTATGATTTGTACCTCAGTTTCGAACTGCAATGGAACTCACTATAATCGTAAAGATCACTTGATCTCATTATAGTAGTAAACACCGTCCAATTTTGTACCCGTTTGGGCTATGCATTTTAGATCACTATCTAACCACTATCATGTGCATGATAATTCAAATTCCAACCTTTGGTATAATTAGAGTTGGTAATTTTCCACTGGACATGCAGTTACATGTATGATTGATATAACTCTGTACAACCAGTCACAGTACAGTCTTTCCAATGGGTGTAAAATTGTATTATTACCACCTTGCCGGGCCAGTTCTAGGGGTTTTAGTGCTAGTCTAGAAGGCATTCAATTTACTATATCGATCTGAGAAATGTGTGACGTCATAGTGGTGGTCCATATTGACCGGTCTAGAATATATTCTGGACCGGCAATTTTTCCCCGGGAAATTAGATATCGTTCAGTGCGTAAGATTTTCTTGCTATTTCAGCCCTGGTCGTTAACGGTGGTAATAATACTAATAACGTCATTTCTGTGAGCAATATAGTGAAATATTGCCCTTAAAAATGACGTTATTGTATTAATCAGTTAAAGGCCCCATATAAAGTTTAAACCACTTTGGCTTATATTTTTTGTCTTATCCAATGTTATCAAAGCGTGAAATGTGAAACTTTTTATAAATTTCAAAAATGTTTTTGAAGGACTTTTTGTTTAAAATATCGTGAATTTATTTAAAACTAACTTTAAGAGGTCACACTTATCTTTTAAAGCGATAATTCACACCGATGCATAGCAATCATCCTCACTTTTTTTTGCCGACAAAATCAAGAAAATTGAACTCATCCATGCATGAAAGTGGTTCAGAGAAAGATGCATTCCAAAATTTATAACATTTTATTTTTAACATAGTGTGTCCGTTATATATTGGTGTTAAAAAGATATAGAGGTTCTTATATGAGTACCTGTGCAAGATCGTCCATTCTTGCTGAGCTTTGTTAATTCTTTATCGAGTAGCAGACGAGATAAAGAAACATTATCAAAGCGACTGTCCGATAAATTATGAAAGTAGTTTCGCACAGGTGTCAACGGAACCAAACAGTGAACCCCGCTTTCCCGAATCCGAGTAATCGGCCGATGACTACTTATCGGCCGGCGTCTGGCGCATATGTGGCCTAGGCATTAGAGAGAGACCGAGATGGGAGATATCCCCCTCCCCTCTACACCAAACTTGTTCTCACTACGTTTTCGAAAATTGGCTGAAAGGCCTCCTCACACATTATTAAGGAAAACATATCTACCCATTTTGCGCATTTAAACATTTGATAACATATTGTGGATCTTATCTTAATTTGTTAATGTGAATTCGCACCTTCATTTGCATGGAAGACTTTGGTAAAATCCTTTTTTGATGATTTTTGTTAGAAAGCTGATGTTTGGCTAAGCTTCGAAATTCCAAATTGAACAGTCTACTAAGAATACCATGTTGTAAATATTGTTTTCTTTATAATATGTCGAGCTAGGACTGCTCAAACAAATTTGCTTTTTGTAGCTACAAGTATTTAATTTCAAAAGATGATTAACTTCTCAATATAATAAAAAATTACCCTCATAAGACATTGTTGCAAGGTGTGTTGCAATGAATGTGGCACCCCGCATTCCCAGGCCCGCATTATGTATTCTCGAAGAAAGCCATCATGATAAACCATGACATCTCATTTCTTCTCAGCCCTGTGTTTCAGGTGAAACAGAAAGATGCCAAAATACCAGCACCAGTCCTGTTACTTTTGGAACACCCTGTATGTCACCACTTCTGGCAATGTCTGGAGGTGGTCAAAACTAAAATGAACCTGATATACACATAATCACAAGTGAATCATCTATTAATAAATCACTCTCATTTTAATAATGACAATTCTAGATTTTGATTTATATCAAAATGTCCAATTCAACAGGTGCATTTGGATTTGTGAAATGCAACCTGTGTAAGGGTAAGTTATCTTATAAAAGGTAAATGCCATTCTATATAAGTTGCCCTAGTCATTCCACAGTTCCAGGTGTTATTTTGTGGAGCCCATGTCTTGCCACATCACACGTGGAAATGACTTTGACAAACCTTGGACATCTTTCTTTCAGTCCATGGACTCTAAAATAACTGCATTGTCGTGAGCGTAAAATTGGTTATTTTGAATGCCGCCTCTTGTATTTTTCATCTGCCCCTTGTACACAAAGTTACTGAAACCACTGATCATTCATTTGACTCTAACCCTTATGTCATTTTACTGAAATATTTTGCAAAGATTAAACCGTTTAACCTCATTCAGAGTATAAAATGTATATGTGATCAAGTTAACCCATCTTCCTATGCTTCAATCATACAACATTCTCATAGTTGCCACATGCGTAATGGAATATTTCATAGAAGATGCATCAATCAATTTAGATACCAGAATAACAGGTATAACAGCCTTATCATGTACAGTAAATAATAAAAAATATTTTTAACAAGCATTAACTCTTTTAACCCCTATTAACAATATGGTAACCTTAAATCATATTAAAGTTCTCCTCCATATTTTCAGGAACACCTTACCACACTTTCTCATTATGAGAAGAAACTATGGGGAGATATTTCTTGGAATTGTGGAAGAAATACCAGCGGGGGGCCACACTTTTATGAGGTGAAAACAGGTCACCACAACCACACTTAAACATATCTTGAGTGGTAAAAATGTGGTTAAAAAAGGTCATCTTTTAACCACATGAGGAGAAAACAAGCGTTTTTTCTTAAGGACAATCTTCTTAGTTTGTTCTAGAATATCTATGTCCAACTTTTACAGGTTTATATATTTTCTTTGTATGCTTCCTGTCCATAGCACTTATTTAAAATGATTGATTTTGTCTGAATTGTTTGTTTCAAAAATAAAATTGATTTTCTTTTATTTACAGCCTGACAAGACATTCAGTATCGTGCATTATCAACCCCCTATGTCTTTCCTCATCAAACACGCTGCTGGGATCTCTAAAGGTGCTAGGCAAAACAGTAAGTACATATGTAACATGAAGTTGAACTAAGTTTTCTGATTTCCCCTCCCTATTAAAGCTGAAATTCTGTAGAATCTGCACACCTTATGTTATTTAGAAACGGAGTCGCAAGTTCTGAAACTGCTATAAATAGTTTTATTATTAGGGCCTAAACAAAAAATGGCATAATTCAATGCCACTAGGCTTACATGGTGAAAAAGTTCAAGATGAGGCGAAAGATTAGGTCAGAGGTCAAATCTCACATTATATGCTTATGGTGGAAGGATTGATTTTTCATCATCATGAATTAATTGAGTCTCCATAGAATGGTATTCTGCCACAACCAAAACCGCTACTGCCATATTTTATCCATCTTCGTAATATAGTTAAATAGGTGATTAAACAAACAAATTGTTTGAGATCACATATTTTTGGTATATTCATATTTCATATATCTTCATCAGGTAAACTCATTCAATTTACCTGATTAAGATGTGTAAAAAGGCCTATATCGAAAATTCATAATCACAAACAATGTCTCTGTTTATCCATCTTTATCCTATGCCAAGTAGAGTTTTAGGGAGATAAGTTGGTAAGATATATCCCATATCCTGATTTTGAGGTTTCCATATCCAGAACCTCCATATCTCCCGCCATATCTCCCGCCATATCTCCCGCTTTGGTGCATATCTTCCCGCTTCAGTGCATATCTTCCCGCTTTCGATAATTTCACTGAAAACTCTACTTGGTAGATATGCATATCTCCCTCTGGATAAACCCCATATCCAAAACCTCCCAGTACATAACCCTTATATATAGCAAGTCCTATATGGATTATCTGTATCTCAAGTTAATCAATCATTTCCTTTTATATTGCAGTGCAAGAGACAGCAGGCTGGATCACCCTAAAACATGTGTATGAAATTGCCAAACTGAAAAGTACAGACCCTATCAATGAATGTAAACCATTGGAGCAAATATGTAAACAAGTGATTCTAGTTGCAAAACATTGTGGAGTGAAAGTATGGGATAAAGATTATGATCCTGAGGAATATGCAAAGTTTAGAGTGGAGAGACAAAAAGTTGTTGAGGAGCAGGACAGAGAGTGGGAAGAAATTAGAAATGCAAAGTTATTGAGGACAGGATAAAATTGGTTTGATTAGTGAAATTGTTGATTTGATGTTGCATGGAAGTCTTATGGACAGTGAACAAAGGCACAATAGTATGGTAAAGTATGGAACTTAAGGGGCAGTACGGTATCAGTTTGCCTTGATGTATCCTTGTACGCTGGAGTGTAGTGTGGAATAAGATTTCCAGATAATTACAGGCAAATTGAATTGCTTTTTCCAATACATTTTGCATACGCAAACCATCTTGAACTATCAGTTTGGAGTACATCATTTTAAATGATCATGTAGTCAAATTGAATATCTGCATAACATTTTGTCATGACCAGTGGGAAATCTCATCTATCCAGATCGGTCTTCAGCTTGCCTAATCAAGCTGACATGAAGCTTTCAAAATTATCAGTAATAGGCACATTTCCTGTTTTTTTTATTTTTTATTGTTTCAAAAATACATTTATGAGTAGAATGGCAATGAATTAAGATAAATATACAAAAACATGTAAAAACATTAATCTGTTTTCGTTTTCATATACGATTCACTATAGGTGTTATAGTTGTTTGAACTGAAGTTAAAGAATGGGAAGGCCTAAAAATGCAGCTCTTAATAAAAAAAATGTGACAGTAACTCAAATTGCAAGAATAACGAACCAATAATCAATGATCATTTAAAAATATTGTAGAAAAGTATTTCTGAAACCACCTACTATATTTGCCATAAAAAGTCTTGGTTCCTCGAACTACACCCATCCATCACAGTTTTTGTGACAAGCCCATCTCATACTTTGCTTTAAAAGAGTATGAGGTAAAATGAAAAATTGACTCATTTAAACATTTCTTGGTGATAGAAGAATTTTTATCTCCAAATCAAACTTTTACACAGGTATTCTTGACACCTGAAATGATTAGTTCACAAAAAAATTCCTAATTCATGAAAAAGCAATATTTTTAATGGATGATTAAATGGTTCTACAATCAACTTTGTATCAACTGAAACTCATGGCCTCTTAGGGCACATTCATCTCCCCACTGATACATCACAAACTGGAGCAGAGTGTGTCCGCGATGGAATCGCAAAAGGATGTGTCTGGATATATGCCCTTTTGGTCCCTCAGTCAAATGTATGTGAAATATGGTTTTTATTATTGTCCTAGTTATATTTGAAAAGTACGAGGGTTGTCCCAGAAGTAATGCACTATATGCTCTAACTTTATCAATAATTGATATTTTTCCATAAAATTTTCAGAAAATGTTCATTAGAGACATTTTGATTATTCTACAAATTTGCATGTTGACTGATTAAACTATATTGATGTTATAATAAAATCAAGTTGGTGAGTCTGGGTAGGGTGGGGCAGGTTATACAGTCACATCAAAAGGAATAAAAAATTGAAAATATGAAATAATTAATCAACAAATACCATTTGGTGTAGCTATAAGAAGTATTCTCAATAATACATTTTAACATACTAAATTACTTTGAGCACATCCTAGATTTAATGGATGTGTATTGCACAGTGCCCCATTTCACATTTCTCAAAATATTGTCGTTTGCATGTTATGTACTTTTGATGCCTGTCAGGTCAAACACTCTCGGCAATTTCTTCCACTGTGACTTGTGGAGTTTTTGCCTCCCATGTTTGGAGTTTTCATACAGGGTCAAATCGTCTCTTTTAAATCTCTTCTGCCACCCCATAATTGTAGTTCTATCTGGTATATACTCCTTATATACTTTCTTCATGGTAGCATTGTTTTGCGTGGCTGTGAGTCCAAGTGAAGTATGAAATTGGGCCACCAAACGCAAGGCCTTCTGTTATCAGGTGAGAATTGCTGGAGAATTGCAGCCATTTTTGCAATTTCTTGACTGTGACTGTATTTGAATTTGTGACTATTGAAATGTGGCATTATGACATCACAGTGCTAAATGTCATTATTCGTACTTGGTTAACATCATGCTGAATAAATTTGACAATTTCCCAAACATTTTGACCATTTAAAAGAAAGAAATATTAATAAAATAACACTTTAGATCTTTTCATAATTAGAAAAATTGGTACCTGCCCCGCCCACCCCTACCCCCATGTTGTTATAGCAACCATATTAAGACTTAAGATTAATGTTGGATGCTTAAACTTCAGGATATAAAAGATAAATCTTCAATTGTTATATACACAAAATTTCAGCAGAATTGAAGGATATTAAAGAAAGTTAGAGCATATAGTGCATTACTTCTGGGACAACCCTCGTATATTTACTTTTTCATGAGTTTTGATGCATTATTAACCCCCTGCTGAGAGTCAGAATAAGTATCTTAACAAATAAAAAAGGGTCATTATCATAGAAAAAACACCAATGGCAACATGTATGATATACAAAGAAGAAATAACTTAAGATCCATGAAGAATTAAAAAGAAAATCATATTTTTGAAATATATTTAAGGATTAAATTTTTTTTCAAATATTTGAATTTCCCGCCAGTTTAATTTGAAGGGGGAAAAACAAGATGGCTGCCATTTGATGTAAGAAATATCAGAAAAAAAGTTGCTTCACTTTTAGTTTTCACATTGAGCACAGTTTTCTGGTTTAGGTTTTTTGACTGATTCTATCTCTTCATCACCAGGGTCATGGATAGAGATTATAAAATTGAAACCAAAATGTTGTGCTCAGCATGAATTTGACTGAAGTATGTGTAACTTCACCAACACAATTGAAGTGTCAAAACTGGATGCTCAGCACCTTTGAATGACTATAATCCCTTGATTACCCAGATAAACATCAATTCACTTATCCAGAAATACCATTTTATGTCTATACAAAGAAAGTAAGCAATGTTTTGGAGGATATGTTTCACACTTTTTGTATAAATAATTCATTTAATATTTGCCATTGATTTTTTTTCAATTCTGACAAAGTGATATGCACTGTCTTTGATCCCAATATTCTTCATCAATTGTGATACAAATTGATATTTTTGTAATCTCATAAGAAGGATAAGATATTGAAGTTTAAGAATATGCGTGATTGAGTTGGTTTTTCAGACATTACAATTTTCAATATTTTCTAAGTCGATACCCAGACTCATTCCCAGACTCATCCTTTGTCTGCTATTGAGTTCATGCTATTTTTCATGAAAATAATAAGATAATGTTTATGGTAGGTTTAAAATAATTTATAAAAACAAGGAATTAACAAAGTTAATGTAAATTTTAGAGTATGAATTATGGAACACCAACGGCATTTTTTATAGCGTTTACTATAAGTGTTATCAGTTATTGGACTTCAAAAAGTAATTTGTGGAGATTAATTGCAAATGATATACTGCCCATGTGGTGACATATTGTTAGTCTCCAACTTTTTTTGTGGATGACAGTCAGCGTCTGTAACAAATGACAGGTGATAACATTTTGCATGTAAATACCTTGTTTTTATTTGATATGACAAAAAGTCTGAATTACAAAATTAATTGTGAGATTTTCTTTGTAATCTTACATAGTGGACACATTTTCTGATTCCACCTTGTGAACTACGAAATTACAACCAAGCACTGGGCTATTTCTAGATTTAGTGATCTCTTTCATGATAATTATCCCAACGAATGAAGTTCTGTAGGGATATAGTGAAGCCCTCCGTCCGTCCGTCAGTCAGTCAGTCCGTCCATCCGTCTGTCCGGAAGATAACTCGAATACTAGTCGACAGATTTTTTTTCAAGATGGCCACCAGTTTAAAAATGTCGGGAATTTTCCGCAAGAATCTTATGTTTTTCATTTTAAACCAAAATAATAAATATTATTATTTGAAATTTTGGTAGTATATTAACAACATCTATCTTTTTCACATGTATCCCGGGTTTTTCACCCTGAACCCCAGAGGCCGTAAATGGGGGATCGGGAAAACAGGAGTTTGCGTTAATTTTGAGATGTTTTTGAAGTATAGCTTTATTATACTCAAATGAAAGGCAGTTTAGAGTAGATTGCAAATATTGTAACGTTTTTCTAATTCGGGCCTCAAATTCAAATTCAAAATGGCCGCCTAATACCTAATCTCTTAAAAATATGGCTATATTATACTCAAATTGAAGGAATTTCAGAGTAGATCACAATTATGGCATTGTTTTTTTCTGATTTGCGCCTCTGAAAATTCAAAATGGCTGACTAGAGCAGAAATTCGCCATTACTTAGAGTTATCTTGAAAGTATGGTTACATGATACTACAGTGATTTAAAATATTTATTGAAGGTAAGAGCAAATGGTAAATATTACATTGTGACTGTACAGATTTATGATTTGTATAGTGTTCGTTGGGATTTGCTACTCCGTGGAGTTGCCATTTTCTAGTTATTTTTTCAAGTTAGCAGTTGAGTGAAAACCTATAAATAGTATCATAGGGAATAACAAGACAGATGCTTATGAAAGTCAAACATCAAATGGTTATTGATGACCTAGTTTTGAACATTTAACCTAATAAATCTTTAGTACATATTTTAGATAAAAACCTCTTGAGTGAGGTTATTTAAGTTCATTAATAGAACAACATTGTTCTTGTGAGAGAAGACTGAGTCATTGACTCAATAGTTGCATGTCATGTATTTACAACTTGACAAGTTATTTTAATACACCAGTATATATTTATTACATTGAATGAAGATCCACCATTTTTGATGATCATGGATTCAAAGCAAAACTGTGCTTCGGATACTACTTCAAATGGTACATCTGCAGATGGTGCAACCGATGGTGGTACAAAGGATGACACACTTGGTGTAACAAAAGGCAGAATTAACCGTGATGGAAAACCAAAGAAACTTCCTCAGATGTTTTTTGTACAGGGGACATACTATGAATGTGGATATCAAAGAGTGAGTAAAATTTGTTCTACATGCCCATCATGAAACTGTGTTGGGGATCAATGAGGTCCAATATACATGTTCTACATAAGTAATTTCAATATATTGAGTTGAGTTCCACCACAAAAGAATGCCACTGGTACAAAATCATATAGTTCTAAATAAAATATTGATATCAAAAGATTCTGGAACTTTTACTTGGTGAGTAATCTTAATCTTTGTAAGGAAGCCTGTTGATGTTGCAAAGAACAACAATGGTACACACCCTTCTAGTCTTCCATTTTAATTTTGACATTATGACATAGTAGACTATAGGTTTTTAGCCATTTAAAGAATGCATTCAAATGTTTTATCATTTCAGGGAGAGTTTTGTAAGGCTGTTATTCAAGAGCATTTTGATGCATCAGAAGAGTCAATTCAGAGATACCAGGCATTTTATGAAACACCAGACGGCAAAGAATTTGTGGATGGATTTATTTCCAATTGTACAAAACGATTCCCACATTTGATGGATGAATTCAAAGGGATATATGATGGGGCAAAAGTAGATATAATGAAGGTTTGTTACATATTAGCAAGCATAATATGGGGAAACATTTCCTCATTATTATTATGCACTTTGAGTTTTGTTCACAGATACTTATATTGTAATGTTACCACCAGAAGAGGTGACATATTGTTAAAGTCTCCACTTTTTGTGGGTGTTGTTTGGCGTTGGGCAGTCGGCATCTGTAACAAATGGCAGGTAGTGGCATCTGTAACAAATGTAAGGTAGTGACATTTTGCACCTTAAAGGTGCAACAATTACTAGGTCAATTAGTGCAGAGGGGCCATTCAACGCTCATAGACCATTCCCAAAATATTTTTAATTTTGGATATTTCAATGCTGAAATTGATAGTTTATACATACATTTTAAGAAAATAGGTACATGTCAAAGAAGGTGTTAAGACAAATATTGACCCGATAGCTCAGAAAAAATAAAAAAATTTAAATTTTCTCTACAGTCCTTGTTGCCCCTTTAATACCTTGTATTATATTTTACCACTTTAATGTGAACCATTGAAGTGTTATTTCTTAAAAGCAATTTTATTTCTATTTCAGTGTGGAAAAATATTTAACATTTTTGGGGGTAGATATATCAAAGATATCCTATGATTTATGAGTGATATGATTTTTATCCATAAATGGATAGTGATATTTGCACTACTGAGTGTAGCAAAAATAGTATCGTAAGATGTTCTTTTTTATTCCATATAATAGTAAAGAGGTGCTTTTTACATGATATCCTATGCACATCACACTAAATGTGGAATGATGTGCAAAATAAATGTACACCCTGTACATTGCATTATTTTTTCAAATATAGTTTTATTACAATTTATGATATTACAGATACAGTAGTTTCGATCAATCACTGAAAGTCTTTCATGTTCCATTTGTTTTTTAAAAACATTTTTACAAAAATTAAAATTTCAGAGATTGTAGATTTATTTTTATCAAAACAAACATGCTATTTATCTCAGGACCTGCATTTATTTTTTTGTGTCTGAATTGTATTGTAGGGATATTTCCTGTGCTTGATATCTTCGCAGTTAGATGATGCACTCGGGAATTTGGAGAGTGCGGTTTTGGCAGAGTATGGTTGTGTCACCAAGGGCTGCACGGATATCTATGTAAACAATGATAATGATGTAAGTTAATTCATCCTCCTTAGCAGGTATCCAGAATCCGTACCTCCTTCTTCCCCCTCCTTCCAAATAACCAATTTGGAAGTGCCCGATTAAACTGAATCACTAGATCTTATTATGCGCAATGACTTATATATGATTTCTGTCGCAGTGTTGCGACAGCCAATCAGATTGCGAGTTCTTATAATAAGTAATAGTAATCGGGGAAATGCTAACTGCTTATCGCAGGGGGTAAAAAGAAAGAATATATTCTGGATTTTGAAGCCCTATGATCGGAGGATGAAGTTAATTATAAGTGGATGTTGTAGATATGAACTTGAGAACTAAGGAATAACACAATCATGATGTATCTGGTATGTTGTATATGAAATCTGGTATATCTGGTATGTTGCATATGGAAACTAAAGAGGAAAAATATACTGCTCACTGAAAGGAGTGGTATCGATATGGAAAACTGAATTCAACAATTGTATATATTTTTCAAATTATATTGTTACCATTCAAAAGATAACCATTAAATTGACAATGTGTTAAATTTTTAGATTTTTTTATGACTGGTTTAAGAGAAACGTGTGTTCAAAAAGTTCTCCATATCGATACCACTCCTTTTAATCACAAAGACTCCATTAAACATAGATTCAATAACTTGCATATAAGATGCAAATCCATTTATGGAAGGATGAAACTTTTTAATGTCTTTGTTACCTAGGTGATAATTGGCCACAATGAAGATTGGGCTTTGGATGTCAATAATCCAATTCTCCTACATTCCAAAATAGAGCCATACACAATGCCTGATGGCCAAGTCATTCCAGAACAAAGAATTATGGCAGTCTATGGACATCCAAGTAAGTACATGGCAGGAGTACATTAAACATTTTTTTGTGAAATACTTGATTCTGGAACTGTTACTTATTTTCTTCCAATATACCTGTCCCAGAGGATTAGGCCGTTTGCCTGTCTTTGTTTTATCAGAAATTCATGAAGAAGTGTAGTAGTTCAATTAAAATGAGATGTGGTTGCAGATATGTTTTAGCTATAACCAACTGTGCGAAACCTCTCTATTGTTGACAAAAATCAAGCCCTATATGACCCTCAAGTTGTGATTTATATCAATAAAGGCTTATATTATGTGTTATACAATATATTTCAGTGAATTTTGGTTCATCTTGTTGGTTTAATGGCCATGGTCTTGGTGTGACTGATGATGTTCTTCTCTTCCCAAAGAACAAGCTCTACAAGGAGAGAAAGACACGTAAGAAAGTTTCTTTATTCTGTTATTTTTTTGCATTCATTTGACTTCACTTCTTAAAAGAGAGCTATATCTTTAGTTTATAGCTAGACTCTGCACGCAGGGCATCTATTTGGAATTACTTCTAAGAGCAAGAGCAATCATGTTTTGTTTTCAGCATGCGTTATGATTGGTCGTTTACTGCAACAATCCCAAACTCCTGAAGAGCTGACACAGCTCTGTGTTGATGAGGGGTCAGGTGTAGCCTGGTCATGGTCTGTGACGTAAGTCAGTATGTGCCTTTTTGCGAACATAGTCTCGCTTCAAGACTATGGACCTCCCCCTACACCCTATCTACTTCACCAACACAGTTAAATTAAATGAGATGAGTATTCCAGGGTCTTGAAGCAAAACTATTGTGAGTGTAATAATTTAATATGGCTGAGACCAACCAATGCGAGTTGGCTTGCCTTAAAGTGGCAGCAAAGAAACAAATTCTAAAATACTGGAAGCATGTTAATGATTCTTTTACAATTTCAATGAAAATTTTGAGAGGTAATGAAACAAAAATGGAAGTTGATCAGGCCTGTAGCCGGGGGGGGGGGGGGGGGTTGAGAACCTCAAAAATTCTTTCAATATCATGCATAAAGTTGCAGAAATCTCATTTTTATTATGTCCCCATCACATAGTGTGGGGCCATATTGTCGGCCTAGGCGCGTTCATCTGTCTGTCCGTCTGTCTGTCCGTACGTCCGGGAGTTTTCTCCAAAACCGCTACAGATATCACCTTCAAATTTTCAGGGATAACTTATGAGTGCATACAGATGTGGATGAAAAAAATTAACTCGATACCAACTTCCTGTCGGCCATTTTGAAGTCAAATGCTAAAATCCTTGTCTGCAAACTTTAAGAAAAACGGCTTCACAGTTGCTTTTAAAACTTTAACATCTTGTTCAGCTCACTTCATTCTAGATCTGAATAGATTTTGGACCTGTAAGTTCAGTCATGTCAGCCATTTTGAATGTTTTAAGAAAAGTTAGCGCACGATAATACTTTGTATCATATTGAATGGTGTTATTCAGTTTTCATACTTAAACTATTTACTGTAGTAGCTTTATAAATAATTTCAGGTGTACTTTGTTGTAAAAGCCTATAGTTATATGTGATAATTTTGTTGAAAGAAATTAGCAAAAACTCATAATCACTTTTTTATTGTCGGCCATTTTGGATTTTTCGGTCCTAAAATCTCGTGTGTAAAGTCTTGTCTACACGTTTTCAGGTGAACCATTTGGTGGATCAATTTCAAATTTTCAGGGATGATTCTTAGTATGAAAATCTAGATCTGATTAGTTTTTGGGCATTCTGGGTAAATGTCAAGGCAGCCATTTTGGATTTTCCATCCTAAAATCTTGTCAGTAAAGTCTTGTCTACGCATTTTCAGGTGAACCGTTTGGTAGATCAATTTCAAATTTTCAGGGATGATTCTCAGTATGAAAATCTAGATCTGATTAGTTTTTGGGCATTCTGGGTAAATGTCAAGGCAGCCATTTTGGATTTTCCGTCCTCAAATCTTGTCTGTATAGTCTTGTCTACGCATTTCCAGGTGAACCGTTTGGTAGATCAATTTGAAATTTTCAGGGATGATTCTCAGTATGAAAATCTAGATCTCATTAGTTTTTATGCATTCTGGATAAATGTCAAGGCAGCCATTTTGGATTTTCCGTCTTAAAATCTTGCCCGTAAAGTTTTGTCTACGCGTTTTTAGGTGAACCGTTTGGTAGATCAATTTCAAGTTTTCAGGGATGATTCTTTGTATGAAAATCTAGATCTGATTAGTTTTTGGGCATTCTGGGTAAATGTCAAGGCAGCCATTTTGGATTTTCCGTCCTAAAATCTCGTCTGTAAAGTATTGTCTACACATTTCCAGGTGAACTGTTTGGTAGATCAATTTCAAATTTTCAGGGATGATTCTTAGTATGAAAATCTAGATCTCATTAGTTTTTATGCATTCAGGATAAATGTCAAGGCAGCCATTTTGGATTTTCCGTCTTAAAATCTTGCCCGTAAAGTCTTGTCTACGCGTTTTTAGGTGAACCGTTAGGTAGATCAATTTCAAATTTTCAGGGATGATTCTTAGTATGAAAATCTAGATCTGATTAGTTTTTGGGCATTCTGGGTAAATGTCAAGGCAGCCTTTGGATTTTCTGTCCTAAAATCTTGTTTGTAAAGTTTTGTCTATGCATTTCCAGGTGAACCGTTTGGTAGATCAATTTCAAATTTTCAGGGATGATTCTTAGTATGGAAATCTAGAACAGATTAGTTTTTTGGCATTCTGGATAAATGTCAAGGCAGCCATTTTGGATTTTCGGTCCTCAAATCTTGTCTGTAAAGTCTTGTTTACATGTTTTCTGGTTAACTGTGTGACGGATCAATTTCAAATTTTCAGGGGTGCTTCTTAGTATGAAAATCTAGAACTGACTAATTTTTGGGCATTCTGGGTAAATTTTAAGGTGGCCATATTGGATTTTCCATCCTCAAATTAACTTTGTTAAAGTCTTGTCTACTCATTTTTAGGATAACCATTTGATGGGATCACCCATAGGTGGGGACATTTTGTACACATTTGTGTTCTTGTTTAGAATTGGAGTAGGAAATGTCTTCTTTTTCAAAAAGTATAACCAAACACTAGTAACCTTCAAAATCAAAGTATCATCATTATTTATGAATTCAGAATGGTTGGACTTATAAACAGGCACAAATATTGTTAACATTATAAAAGAGACTAACTCTCATTTCAAGTCCTTGCTAGCTTGTACAGATTGTAAAGCTTAGTTGAATTTTCTTTTACTGTAGTTAGATGTATAATATAAAATTTTTGATAGCCAATCCTCCAACATAAGTTGCATGAATGATTTTAGATTGAATTTTGGAGTATTTGGGAGCTCAACTATGTATAATCTAGAAATGGGTCCAAGTGATGGGCCAAGATCGAATATAAGCCTCAAGAAGATTGTACCTCAGGGCTCAGAGGGAAATATAACAGGAGCATATTCTCACTTTAACCAGTAAGTTTATTAGATTTCTATTAACATTAAATATCCTGGAATGAGGATTGTCCAATATGACAAGTACAAGTATGAAAAGAACAAGTCTATTCCTTATAAGCGTACCTTGAAGGTCCAGAATAATGTTAATTACATCTAAATACCTCCACCATGTAAAAGCGTTGTAATGAGTTTGAGCTTGAAATAAATGTCAGGTTTTAAACTTTAGCTATTTTTATTAGGTAGCTGGATTTTGATCAATCGAATTCCGATTGGGAAGGTTAGATTATCTCTCTCTCTCTTAGAGTGTAGAGGAAACCTTTTTACATAGCCTAAGCATAATTAAACTATTGGAACGGGTATTATATGTGATAATGTTTCACTTAAAATACTCTTTGCTGTGTCACAAAACATCTGAATGTTGTAAATGATTTTCTTTTAAGCACAAAACATCTCGCTGACACAAGTACTCAAGTCCAGCTTGTGCATACTCGACAAGCAATATATGATTCAAAGCCTACTCCTGAAACGCTTAAAGATGCTCTAGCCATACTTGGAGACACAGAAGGGGACCAATATGCAATATATATGCCACCTGAAAAGAAAGGACATTGGGCGACACATTGGACAAGTGAGTATATCATATGAACATCTCTCTGGCACCCAATGACATCTACCTGTAGTAGTACATGATATCAAAATGGTTTTAAATAAGATTTATTACATTAATCACATTTACTATTACACTTTCAAGGGTTTATGGACAAATATTGTGCCAACCATGCAACCATTTGATATTACTAATGATAATAATGTGTGGCATTCATAAACTGATGTAATGTTTTTCAGCTGTGTTGAACTTCAAACAGAAATGCCTGTATGTGTATATTGGAAACCCTAAAGACAAGGAGCCAGACATAGTTCTCCCATATGCTATGCTCCAATCTACTATGTGAAGATCAATGCCCTCCTGAGCTGAACATACATAGTCTCGCTTTAAGTCAACGTGTCCCTCTTATTTATACGTCACTTGTAAAGGTGATTTGATGAGGTGTGTCTAGAGTAGAGGCTTAATGCAGGACTACATAGTGGACATTTTGGGATCAGACATTTAGCAAAATGTATTCAGTATCAAAGCGAAATATGGCAGAACTAGTGCATTGAATGGAACTGCTCTCACGAGTCAAATACATCATATTGAGATATTTGTTACATGATACACTTCCAATTTCTACATTTGGAGGTGTAATTCAGGTTTAAATATTACTTGCCAGATCCAGTAATGATATGTTAACGGTGTTGAAACATAACTAGTAATCATATGGCAAAATGAATACCTCGCTTGAAATTGTTTGATTCTCAAAGTAGACAATGACTTAGGTATTTTAATCTAAAGTGGAATAAAATATTCCATCTGGTGGAAAATGACCATAGTCTAACCAAAAATACAAAGTAGAGAAAATTTGATTAGAATAAATAATATTGCTTGCACATTTATTTGGATAGAATCTTTGATGACAAACTATGTGAAATGAATATGATGTTATTTAAAAAACTCATTTTTGAATAAAAATGATATATAAACAAATGTCTAGTCCATATCTTGTCTGAAAGGTAACTTCTTCCTTTCTTTTTGAGCATTTTTCTTTCGTTTCTTTCCTAAATAGGCTTCTAGTTTTCCACTCTTCTTCAGTTCCTTATATTTCTCAGCAAGTTCCAGCTTCTTTTTGTCAGCTGGAAACACATGTATAATGTATGTAACAATATGCAAACATTGATTCATTGTGTTTGTCACAACGGGAAGTGGTAATAAAGCTAGCGGCATTGTGGGATACTTCAGCCTCGTGATTTCTGTCAAAGTTTATTTCCCAAACTATTATAATGTACATGTTTGCTATCAATTGCGAATGAAACGAATATATTGTTTACTCGAACCCCGGGAAAAGTACTAAATCTGTTAGACTATCAACTGTACATCCTTTCATGAACATTTGAAAAGAAAAATCTCTAAAATGCACATGCACATTTCAAAGTACATATCTAAGAATTTTGTAAGCTAACTATGAAAATATCCTAACTATGAGAATTTGCAGATTCTTTTTTTAACCCTACTTGCAAATTCACCCTTTACAAAGAGATCAGACCATTTCCATATGGATACAGTAAGATTCTTTTTTAACTCAATTTGCATATCTATCTAGCCAAATATTTTTGCCACTGAAATTCTTACCTGATTTTAAATAGAATGGTGTTTTTCCTTGTTTAATGAGTCCCCGTTCCTGTTTCTTTAACACTCTGTCTGCATCTTTCCTCTTGGTTTTCTGTTTTTCTGTATGGTCTTGTTGCACTTTTCTATCCAGTAAATATTTCAGTTTTTCCTTCTTTTCAGGATCAGCCTCAACTTTCATACTTTTCTTGAGTCTCTGTAAGTTATAGCAAAAATCGTAAAATAACACACATAAAAAGTCAGGTTAAGTACTCTGCTCAATGTAAAACTCAATTCACCTCCTATTGAGGAATTTGAACCTATTGAAGCTATAAATTTTTGGCTGACCAGCAGACAAAGAAGAAATAGGAAACAGACTAAAAGTGCTTCTGTGACCTCAGTGGAATCCTTGGAATCCATGGAGGATATCCAAGATATTGAGCCAAATGTCAGAGTGAATGTAACCATGCCAGAAGCAGATACAAACACAGAGGCTACATTTTCTTCAGATCATTCTGATTATATTGTGATGAGTTTGATGACACTGACAATGACTATGACTCGGAGAATGAACTTAATATGGCCATTGATGACCTTTAAGGACCTTTGATTTAATGATACTGATTTAATTTTAAACATAACTCATAAAACAATTCATTGATTTATTGTTTAACAAGATTTTGATTGACCAGTAACATTTCATACGGACCAGGGACTTTTTTGAGGTGCTGGTCATTTTGTCCAGCCTAATTTGATATGGACCACTTAACTTTGTGGTTCAACAGGTCCGTATGACCAGTCTCTTTTTCCCCCTTAATGACTACACTGCCCACCACTGATGAAAAACTTAAGTTTCAATTCAGAACTGACCTTCATTTCTCTTGCTTTAACATCATCAATGAATCCATAGGACTGTTTAAATAAGTCTTCATTGTACTCTCCTGACAGATCATCAAATCTTGGATCACGATGGACCTAACAATAAGAACAAAATGAACATACATTTATACTGTAAAACATGCAGAAACAGCTTTTTAATGAGTTATTTTTAGCTTTTTATGTTATCATCATAAAATGTAATAATGTATGCATGCAATTGCTTTTTCTAATGAGTTACAAAACATCACAAAACAAAATTATAAATAATTTCAGCAGATAGAGGGAGATCCCATGAAACTCTTTTATCAACCCCCTTTTTGATAACCTCTCCTTTCTTTATCACCCCACTTTTCAATCAACTCCCTGCTCTCCCATCCACCCCTTCCATCAACCCCTCCTCTCCCATCAATCCTTCTTCTTGTATCAACATTCAACACTCAACCCCCCCCCCCCTCTCCCATTAACCCCCTCTCCACCCATCAATCTCCTCTTCCATAACACATACCTTTTTCTTGACCTCAATGACCTCTCTTAACCTCTTTGGTTTTCGTTTTGAAGATATCTCCATTGGTCTATTCTTATTGGCCCTTTTGAAGACCTTGTTCTTTGACCCTGATGGTCTCCCTGATGCTGTAGTACCAAATATAGCTTGATTATATCTGAAAGGAGTCCAGGGTTTTATTTAGTCAATATTTATTCTTATACAGAACAAAGCATTAATATGCAAAATGTCACAACCGCCATTTGTTACAGAGGCCAAATGCCAACCATCAAACACAAAACCAAAGTCAGAAAACAGTTGGAGACTATAACAATATGTTTTTAAGAACCTGTGGAAAAGAAACTGTCAAAATAAAAACTCTGAAATTAGTGGGACTGCTAATATATTCAACATACAAACTTCTCGAGAAAGAAGTGTTTAAAGTGATGAAAAATAATGTTCAGCTTATGAGATACTTTTGAAAAATATTGGGCCAATCAACACATAGCGTACTTCTGGACCATAAAAAAACTTGACATTTATCTTGAATAATGTTTGTTTGTTTATTTGAATGTCACTATTACTGAATATAGAGAACAATTAATTAAAGTCATGTAGTTTTTATATCACCACCAGTAAGTTATGACATTATAACCATCAACATTTGTTTTTATGTCACCTAAGAAGTGGTGACATTATTATAACCTTCAACACCTGTCACTTATTTAAGCATAAATCTTAACGCCTCGTTTTAACCATACACTTGTTACAAGAAACTTACAATTTGACTCCCAATTTTTCCTTTAATTGCTGCAGTTCCTCAAAGGGCATGTGAGATAACTCTGCCTTGATGGATGCCTGCAAATACAACAAAATATTACAATGGATACTAAATGAAATTGTGAAAATTAAAAAGGTTAAAATAAGTTGTGAGCTCAACCTTTGGATATGAAGTTTCAGAGTCAGGTCTTGAAAGGTGAAAGTAAGTTGAAAATAGTGGAGTCAGCAAAGAAAAAGGCAAAATGCATTATAAATATACATTTTTTCAAAAAACCATTCCAGAGAAATCATGAAAAAATAGACTTTAGTAGCTGTCTTGTCCAACTGGTACACATACAAAGAATACAGAAGCATATAGTACATTAAATCAGTACAGGGACATGATAAGCTGTTTGCATTCAGAGATTATGAACTGGAGACTCTACAGCACATCAAAAAGATCAAAATATTTTGAGTTGTTCATTTATAGAGGTGTTCATAAAAACATGTTTTACTGGACATACATAGTACAGTGATCTCCCCAGCATTAAAGCAAGTAGGTGCTGCACTCACTTGAGATTTTAATAATATGCATGCACCCAACTGAGAATCAATTTGCACTCTCTTGAAAATGAGAAAAATCATGAAAAATGGGCATATTTTGACCAAATTTGGTCTGAATTTTGAAATCAAGAATCTTGCACCCATTTGAGATAAAATGCTATGGAGAACACTGCAGTATGTTCACTAATTCCTACCAGTTCTTCATCCTCATTGAACTCAGCAGTATCACTTTCATCTTTGTCAACATTACTAGCATATGTTTGTTTATTTGTTCCTGTGTCTTTTTCTCTTTTCTTTTTACTGGTGTCTTCATCAATTGGTTCATTTCTACTAGTGTCTGAATTGTTATCGCTATCCGTATGATCATTTTCACTTCCACTATCTGTTTCTTTATCTGAATCATTTGTTTCAGATTCATCATCACTGTCACTTGTTAAATCCTGCTGGTTAATCTGACCTTCATTTTCATCAGACTTATCAAGTTCATCATCACTATCATCTATGTCATTATCAATGTCACTAACACCATTGTCAGTATCATCAATGTCACTACTGTCATTGTCATTATCATCATTAATCTCCTCATCTGGTGTAGTCATAGTCCTGGCTTTACTTTCATAAGTTTGTTTTACTTGTTTGATTTTGTTGAAAAATTCGTCAGCATCAACAGCTGAGTCATCGCTGTCTGAATCCTGATCTGCGGCATTCTGAGGTAAAACTGGACACCTTTCTTGTTTCTTTCTTCTCTTTGTCATGTTAGTAGTCTACAAAACAGATATATTTGAAATAATGAGATGAAATCATTTAATAGATGGGTATGCACAAGATATTGAGATGATGGCCTTCCAATTGAGGGAACAGCCTCTGATTTGTTATAGATGGGACCATCATTAGTCTTAGACTAGAGTCCCATGCAACCTCCATATAGTTGGAATCACTTCTGTGCATCAACCAAACCTAAGGAATAAGTAATCAAAGGGCCACTTGCATATTGTATTGAAATTTTTTTTTCAATTTAGATGCAAGCTGTTTGTATCTTTGATTTTCCATGCTTTCCCTTATGTTAAATTTGAAAAAAATTATGACAACAACTCCCTAAATTACAAATGGCTGGAAATTATATAAGAACAACTAATTTATCTGAAACATACAAAAATTATGAATCTAAAACGTATGTGTTTTTCTATCTAATTATGCACTGTAGTGACGTAGCCATAAAGAAAAAGTGACAAGGTGAAAAATATTTCTAAACCTCTCTTCTGCTCATCGTTTGTTTTATGATGTATCTGCATTCATTTTTTGAAGTTCTTCTACAGAAATATTTTTGCTTGATAATTATCAGGTAAAATGCATATTTGCAGAAAAAACTGGTGTGACTTCAATTTCTTCAGCAAATGCGTGACATATACTCAAATTGCGGGACAGTTGGACGGCCTGTAAATATTAATTGTTACCAAATTCGTCTACGCTGGACAGTGGAGTATCGAGTTTGAACATGGGCTTTCAAGGGAGGTTAGAATAACAGATTTCAACCCTCCTTGTGTATATTACTTTCAACAGAAAGCCCATGAATCATGGGACATGATTGCAGAAATATTTTTGTTTGGAGTAAATACAAAAAGTATACATCCAATAAGAAGAATGACAGAATGTTTGAATAATTGGAATGGAGATACTGATAGATGAAGTACTTCCGTTTATGCGCATGCACGAAAAAGCGAACCAAGTAAAAACCAAACATATTGCCAGAATCAAAAAAGTTTCAGAAAATCAAAAGTGAATATTTTTCAAAAAAACATCATGATACGATCTTACCTTTTAATTTTTCTATGTTCTGGATGTCACTTCCGATAAACTGGTCCTTTCTTTCGCAATGTATTTTCTATTAGTGAATAACTTTGGCTTATACGAGGATATTTACGAAGATATTGTCATATTTTCAATATTTTCCCATGTGTGCCACCATCTTGAACCCGGAACTGGAAGTGACGTCAAATTGGGGAATCCCGAAAATCCAGGCCAAGAGGAGGAAATATCCCATAATTCATAGATGGACCTCTTGAGGGACCTCAGGGATGGCCCTCTTCTATGTAAAAAGAGTTTAACATTTTGGTGCCAAGGAGGATTGGCTCCCAGGATCGAAACTCGATATTTTCCAACAATGAAAACGTCGAAATGTCGTTATTTTCTGAAATTAAAACCGACTATAAATTCAAAATAAACAGTTCAAAAGATTCGAACCAATATCTCGATCGTTTCTTGTGAGTTTTGGAATTTTTCGTTTGGAAATAAGACCAAAATTCACGATTTAAATGTTGAAGTGAACAAAATGGCGGCTGTTTGAATTCGAATTTTGTATTACGACATACCCATATATGGGACAGAATATCGGTGGTGCACTCTGGGAGCCAATCCTCCTTGTTTTGGTGCAATAGAATAATGAAAAGCACAAATGGCAACATTTGAATCCAATCGTGTGTTTTAATGATAGAATCAAACAAATGCTCTATCCGCACACAGAGCAACATAAGAAATGAATAAGAAAAAGCAAAAGGGGCAACATTTGAAATCAATATAAAATATTTTTCTAGCTACACAGAGACTGGGGGGGGGGCAACTCTCCTATCTGTTCTAACGCCTGTGAGCAACATAATATGGAAGCAATGTTTTATATGCACAACAGATGCCATTCTCAAAATTCATTTCGTTCGTTGTGCACAGGAGGTACGGATGGCACTGGACGAAAGGCTCGGAGACTGAACAGATGCCATTCAAACTTAATAAAAAGTTATGTCATTAGTTCTAGTTTTCTACCATGATCATGCTTATATCATATGGGCAGAAATAAAAACAAGAGTTTTCAAATGTTGTCTCTTTTACTTTTGATATTGGTTTTTTGATATTTCCCAGTGTGTGTATTATTCAATATTTTTTTTATCTAAGGTGCTTTCGATATACTTTTATCAATTGTGTATTCTGTCACACAATAAAACAAAATACAAACATTTCTAATGTTGCCTGGGGTGCAGATAAAACATTCATAAGAGCTTTCAGACTGTTTCATTGAGGCATTCTGTCATTAAAGAAACAAAAGACACACAATTGATTTCAATGTTGCCATTTGTGCCTTTTATTTGATTTCCAATGATTCCTTTTGTATTTACACTCCCCTCCATAAGTTTGGCAACCTTTTTCCCCCATTGAACTACGTGTTAATTGTTAAAGCCTCTTTACGTTTGAATTTTTATTTACTTAACCGGCGATGAAATAACTTATAATATTATAGAAACGTAACTTGACTTTATTTCCAATACCTCCAAATTTTCTCAATTTTTTCTCCTCAATTACAATAGGTCGAAAATTGATGATAAATTTGATGAATTTTTGAAAATCATCATTCCCATGTAATCCAATGGGAAAAGAAGGGTTCGGGGCAAATCAGAAATCAGGATATCTTTTCAGTAAAAGATTCAGCAAAAAATATTTTTATATAGAAAATTGAATTGTCTAACTTTTTTGAAAACTAAGTGTTTAGTTTATTTGATGAATATTAAAGTTACAGCGCTTCAAAGTCATTTTTGAAAATAATTTTTCGCCTCCTGTGTTATTTCAATTGGAGAGTTTTTTGAAAAACAATTTTGACTTTAAAGCCCTATAACTTTGTTGAACCTGAAGAAACATATCAAATTTTTGTTAACTAAAGTTAGCAAATTCAATTGCCTGCCTAACTCGTATTTTTTGCAAGGACTCAGATGGATGAATATTCTGTCATATGACTTGCGGCAAACCTACCATTTCCCAATCCATTGGTTAACATGGGAATGTCGATTTTCAAAAATTCATCAAATTTATCATCAATTTTCAACCTATTGTAATTGAGGAAAAAAATTAAGAAAATTTGGAGGTATTGGAATTAAAGTCAAATTACGTTTCCATCAATAGTATAAGTATTTCCATCGCAGGTTAAGTAAATAAAAATTCAAATGTAAAGAGGCTTTAACACATAGTTCAATGGGGGAAAAAGGTTGCCAAACTTATGGAGGGGAGTGTATAAATCATTCATTAAACCCATCAAATGTTGCCACTTGTGCTTTTTCTTATTTTTTCTTATTAAAAACTTTACTCTTGATACAAAAAAAAATGATTTCAAATGTTGCCACTTGTGATTCTTATTGAAATGTGCTTTCAAATGTTGCCACATGCGCATTTTTGAATTCAGATGATGCCTTTAACTAACTGGCTTTACTTTCTCATCAATGCAACATATTCAGCTCAAGAATATAATAGTAAGATACCCAATAGATGGAATGCTCTAATTTTGGCCATTAAAATGGATGGCTACAGGTTTGTATCTGTTAGGGGCCAGGCCAAATAACAAATTGTCTTTTTTGCATCAATTTGTCATGTTATAAAAACAATTGGATAAAGATTAATAGCAGAGAGAGGATGGCAACTGATCCTTGATTAAAGAATTAATATAGCGATAAAATAAACATTGATATTCTGAGTTGACCCATTGGTGCAAACATTTTGTGATTGGACAGGATCAATTAATTCCTATTGGTCGAGTAACATGATGTTTGTCCACAATCCATTGTAAGCTAATAGCTTGTAATTTCCGTTCTCTATTGAATAATAAGAGAAATCTATTCCCCTATGATTACTATTATAGAATTGCTTTGTTTTTATGATTGAATATGTAATACAGTGTAAATGTCCTTAGTTGTACCTCATCACTTTTCTACGAATTCCTCAAGGTCGATGATTCTGGAATAATACTGTAAACCCGATAATTTTTGCAAACTGCATTTTAATTTGGCATTTTTGAGAACATTTTTGTATGGTGAACATGCCAAAGATTTGTATGTAAAATATGAATGTATTTTTACCATAAAATATTGAACTTTGGTCCTGATTGGTTATTCTTTATGCTTCAACTGACTTGCACTGAATAGCCACAAAATTTCCACAAATAGTACAAAATACAATCGCATAAAATATTACTAGGTTTTCAGTATACCAGAACACTTGACCACTTGGACATGAAACAACAGAACTGACGAATACTATTAAATTTTTATTTTATTTTTTCCTCCATAATTGCACAATATAACATGGTGGTTATATACAACAACAACATAACTGCTTACATTAACAGTTCACCTTTCAAGCAGTCCCATGTTTATGATATGATCAAAGTTGGCAAGCTAGAATATAAATTACCTCTTTATTTGCCAAAACAATGAAACCCAAAGCTTTTACATACAACCAGGTTTTATTATGTACAGTAAAACCTGTCTAAGTGGAATACCATTGGTACCTCTAAAAGGTGTTAACATTGGGAGTGTAGGGGTTCATTTATCATAAAGTCAGTTGGTTTTGGGACTTTGAAAAGTGTTCCACTTACAGATGTGTTCCATTTCTAGAGGAGTTCCACTTCCAGGTTTCACTGTACATATGGCACTTTGGTATAAAATATGCTTTTTGTACTAGGCCTACTACTTGCCTACTCAATTGCAATATGTAAAGCTAAAATGAATAAATCTCAAGATCATAATTAATTTGAATCACACTTGTTTAACTTCTAGAATTGTTCCACAAGTTTCACTGTACAAGTATTTATCACTTAATTTTCAACATGGTTCTTTGGTATAAAATATGCTATTTGTACTTCCACTAGCCTACTCAATTGCAATATATTAAGCTAAAATGAATAAATCCAAAGATCATAATTAATTTGAATCACACATGTTTCTTCAATTTTGTTAGCTGTCCATAGATTACTGTGTCATTAAATGATGCTAGGCTAGGTTTATTAAAGATAAACATTTATTTTCAGTGTATGTGTACATACATGTATATACCCTTTTACCGACTTATTGGGCACCTATTGTACCAGGTATCAGATAAAATCTGATATCCTTCCTAATAAGCGGATACATCAAATGATTTATTTGTTGACCTATATCTGAACTTGGTAGTACAAGTTCAGATTGCAGAATTTTATTTTCAAAAAACAAAAATATCTTAAATGTTCCCAAAGCAGAATATATGATTTTTTAAATATGGATACTGGTCTATACATTGTGCATTTTGGATAATTGCTTGGAATTGCTATACTTAAATTAAAATTGCAAATAATTATAATTCAGAAATAAATACTTATAATTACGAACTTTAAAATGTAAATTCCTATATATCAGATAAATACGTAGTCTGATATTATTGGCAAAAATATTATCTTACATTAGATATGATTCATTTTGGGAAACTGATCCCTTTAGTAGACAATACATGTTATACAACTAACAATCCATCTTTTAAATCCCCCAAAATATTTCAACATAGGTGTCATAATAATTTGGCACAGTGAAGAAATTAAAATTCTATATTCCATCACCCTTACTACAGTTAAATCTGTGTAAGTGAAACACCATTCGTACCTCTAAAAAATGTTCCAATTTGGAGGTGTTCCACTTACAGAGGTTCACTGAACATTAAGTCAGTTGGTCACGTGGCTCTGAAGTGTTCCACTTAAGCACACGTTCCACTTACAGAGGTGTTCCACTTTACAGGTTTACTCTAAATACAGAACAAAATACCCAAGTGTATGATATACATGAAATATTGTAGGCTATATATACAGTACAGGGTGCGAACATAAAGAATACAAGTGGCAAAACTTTAATCTTCATAAATCATCACTTTATTAAATGCTCAAAATTGTGCAGTTAATTTGTATATGTGTATTGTACTATGTACTATGTATATACACTATAGTAGCAATGAGGTAGTAATTTAATTGGCCACCCAAATTAAAAATTCATAATTTTGCCACTTGTGATCTTAAAATGTGACTAACACCATACCCTTGCTAAAACACATTTGATTGAGCAAAGAATGCAATTTCATTCTATTCTGTTTTTAATATACACAACTGTATACAGGAAATATTAATTATTAACCCGGGTTGATGTGTTAGTAGTAATTAGTAATTACCAGTAAATGGTGTTACCCATTATCACATATTAGCAAACTGCTATTACTAATTATCAGCAAATGATGTTACCCATTACATACATTACCCAATTATGAAAACGAATGTTGTTACCCATTACCAATCATCAGCAAGTGGTGTTACCCATTACCAATTATGAACAAATGGTGTTACCCATTACCATTGATCATTGGCCACAAAAATCAGTAGTCCAATGTAAAGTAAGCATACCCACAAACTAAGAGCAATAATTCAGCAAAATATTTGGACAAGTAAACTTTTCTTGATATTTCGGTCACAAACATAAGCTAGATCAATATACACATTATTACATTGTGAATTATTTCTTGCTGTAAGTAGGGTTAATAGAGTTTTTTTTATGCTGATTTGTGACTTTCAAAAATTTGAAATTTTCATTGCAACTGTTACATTAAAAATTTCACGAGGTGGATTATCAGATTATGGTGGTGATATGATGCAAATAAACTAATTTTCAAAAAAATTTGAGACGTACAAAAATAAAATTCTTTTCTCATTCTCGATGAACTGAAGCTACTATAACAATCATGCCTTAAAGATATATCTCAATTCACATCATAACTAAGAATTAAAATCATGTTACCATTATCAATAAAAGGAACTTGAATGCATATGTAAGTACATGGCCCAGCATAAAAAATCATGCACACAGGACAAATTCTTTAATACACGAAGTGAAATTTTAGATATATCTTAAGATGGCAAACCAAATCAAACCATATACTTCTGAAAAGCACTTGTATTATGCTATGTAATGCATATAAAAATAATTTATGTTAAAAGTGAAGTGCATGAAAACCTGTCCTAGGGAATGCATGAAATAAACACATATTTTGCACGATTGAAGCAGCATTTTCTGAACTGTGTACAGAATTTCCCAAAATAGGGAATCTCAACGAGGTGCTCCTATGCATGAATAAATGTCTGAACTAGGTTTTGCTGTCCTTCATGAATAAATGAAATGAACAATTTTAAGCATAGCATGGAATGAGTCGATGGGTTAATTCAATAGTCTAGTTGGTCCTGCTTAATTAAAATGATATGTATTTTGATAATTACAGTTTACAGGACCCTCGTATTAGTACAAGGCATTTTCTAGAATACATAGTTTTGACTAAAAGAGACACACTTTTCATTAATAAAGCTCCACTTTTTTGTAAAATTTCTTATAACTCTTCAATAAATATTTAAATTTTTGATCCATTTTTGGTTTTTTCAGGTTCCATGGTTGATTGGTCAGCAGTTGCTATGGTAACTACAATTCATCCCGGCTTAGTCAGGGTGACAAATGGAGATATTCTATAGTAAAGATGCGTAAAATGTGGTTTAGGTTTTCTATAGTGTCATAGTCCAATGCATTTTCATTGTCACTTTCTTTATGCCATACACTCGGGAAAGGATAAGCTATTAAGTGTAAAATTGGAACATCTGAAAAGGAAAAGGAAAGTATTCAGGAATTATTATTATTATTATTACATGTGTGGTTCATAGGGATCAAATTTAATTTCTTTAATTTCAGTAAATCATGAGTCAAATATTTATACCAGATCACACAGCGTAATGCATACACAAGAAAATAGATCTTTTTTATGTGTAATCTGAGTTTGAAAATTATTTAATAATGGAGCCCAGACAGGTGTAATTGAAGCATATATCTTGTATTCTATGAAGCAATATTCTCACTCCAATACCTTAATTTAATAGGATGCATGCTTCTTATGGCATAATCCATAGAATATGTAATTTGGTAAATGTAAAAAAATATGACTCACCTTTTCTTAAAAATGGAATGTGATCATCCTCAATTCCTCCACCGTTATATCTGGCTTTGTTTTGAAAATAACTAGTTGTTCCATGATATCTTTCATCTTTCTTCAATTTGGTTTCTGTAAAATCAATAAAAATACTGTATGTCATACACATTACTTAAGAAAAGTAAGCACAGTTGTAAGTAAGATGTAAGTGAGTAAGACTACATTCTTACAAGAAATTCAACCTATAGCTCTTTATTATCAAACTGATTTCATTAGTAAGGAACAACATTTGATGTCTGGGAAAACCAAATCTCTACATTTATACAGTCCTGAAAACAGTGTCTTCTTTTTTCCATTCCAAAGTCTAGAGTGCTATGCAATCAACACTGATTCAACGTGCATGACCTCCCATAACAATGATCTCCCATCATCAAAAGTGAATGTATATCACAGAATACAGTTTATATCTCAGGGGCTTAGGAAGGTGTAAATTCAACACTACACCAATAAATATGAAAAAATTGTGCCAAATCTTCTACCTATATCAAAACACAGTACTATTTTATGCCTGAAAACCTCATTTTTATTATAATCTATTTATAATAATGTTCTTAAAATGTTCAAATGTTTTTCAATATTTATAATCACGATGGAAAGCCGATATTTGATGTGATTTAAAGAAAATGTCAAATATGTAACATGATATAATGCAGGTTTGCGAAATGAAATTCAGGTAACAGATTTCATTTGGAACGGTAGAGTGTCCTAAAATTCATAAGAATTGTTTGAGAGAGGCATAAGGGATGGGTGATTTTCGGTGCACTATTAAATTAAACATACATGTGGAGTAGCTGACATGAATTCCATCAACAGTTGTTAGATAACCAAATTTATTAACATTAGAATTCTACATCCCCACAGACCTCAGAGTCGTCAGAAAAATACAACAATTTATGGTAACATTTTGATAATATTTACACAAGTTCTCTACTTTAATAGCATTGTTATTATTGAATTATTTCAGCATTTTGTAACATTAGATAATACGATCCATTATATACATCAAGTTAACGTTTTTAGGTGATGTAGAATTCTAATGTCAACTAATTCGGAAATATAATAACTATGGCCTTTTAATTAGTGCACTTAAAAGAAGTAAAATCAATCAAGCCTTATCTCCCTCAAAAAATTCCTCGTGAATCAAAAATATGACTGAAGAACATTGGGAAATTATTAAGGCTGCATTTTTGTACATGGTCTTTGACAGTGGGCATGATTTTAATCCTAAAAATTAGCTAGATTGTGGTTATACCACAAAAGTATGTGCAAAATACCACTGTGTAAAAAATTTGAATATTACGCAACCGTATTTTCACTTGCACCCCGATCACAGGAAAATACACCCTAAGCCTTTTTTCAACACTATGCATCGGCATTTTGGCTTACATTGTTCCTACGCCACTGTATCTTACCTATTTTTGCTAATCTTTCAAATAAATGGCCAGTTTGTTTGTCAAACCAGTTGGTGAATTTAGGGTTTTTGGTCCCAATGAGATCCAACAGGATAAATGCATCCTAAAAAAAGACAATCATATATTACATACATTTGAAGCAAAAAATACGTTTTTGACCTTTTCAACCTTTTTTGACCTTGAAAGGGTCATTGAAGATCAAATCTTGAATATAAAGTCAGATTTGTTACAGATGCCGATCACCAACCGCCTATCGCTGATCGCCAACCGCCTTAAAAAAACAACTAGGGTCTAACAATGTGTCACTTTATGGTGGTGACATAACAAAATAGTCTCAAGATCATTTTGCTCTTTGTTTGCTTGAAAGAGGACTATTTTCTTCATAAGATACTAAGGACATTGATAAAACAAATAGATTACATATTTTGCCAAAGCACCCACGGTCATATTCATTTTCACTCTGATGATGTAAGGATGTCATGTCTCAAATAAAATATGATTTCACTTTGTTACGTGCATGATGAACTGGTAAAATGATTTTGTAACTACTAATTAGACCATAAAAGAAATCAGTAATTGATTTTCCTAATAATTCCCAGCGTAATGGTTATTAACTGGTAGATATCAATTTTACAAGAGGCCCTGAGGTAATAAGTGTCAAGCATGGAATGGCTATTAGCTATCACAATGAACTAATGAATGGAAAGACGGCATGACCAACGTCAACCTAATTAGCAATAAATGATCCATGAATGTAACAAATGTGGGAAGACTGTGATTGTACATGCGTGGGAGGACTAACGGATTAACGCTCAATTTGTTCTCATATCAACTGACAATATTGACAATGTTGCTTTTTGCAATGTTTCCGATGGCAGCTCTTAAATTGCCATAATTCAAACTAGAAATTGTCAGCTTTTCCTGCAAAACAGATTTTGGGTATTAGAAAGTTAATTTTATTAGTACATGTGTCCTTTAAAAATACTTTTGACTTCAGAGAATTTTCTTACTTAACCAATGTAAAATATTGTATTTAATTTATTAAATCTGTGCAATAAATCGTGTAATGAATTTGTTAAGAAAGTAATTTGTAATAATCGTGTAATGAATTTGTTAAGAAAGTATTTTGTAATGAATTTATAAAGAAAGAAATGACCTTAATGTAAATGATGTTAATCTAAATTTAAAACTGTCTAATAAACTGTGAAATGGAATTGCAGAGATTAGGAATATAGAAAATACAACACAGAATTAATTTGATTATTAAAAAATAATCAAAAAATCTTTATTTTAAGAAGGAACGAAAAATTATGGCTTTGAAGCATTTCTCAACATTCTAGAGCAATCGTTGTGTTATTATATTGTAATTGCCACCATGCTTCGGGACTGATTACAAAGCTTAAGGTATTAATAAATCATCTTAAGTCTTATATATAGCACATAAATGACAATGTTATGAGCGAGTAATGAGCAAGTGAAGGGTCTACACAATTAGGAAATTGAAAATCAGTTTGCTAAGGCAAAATTAAATAGAGAGAATTTGAAGCTATAAGGGACTACTGCAGAGTGAGATATTATTCAACGAAAGTGACATCCTGACACGTGCAAATACAATTATTACACAATAGTTGCTTCCTAGGCTTCCTGTAAAGTGGCCACCATTCTAAGGTTAGATTAATTACTTGCATGATTAGTGATACTTCATGTCATGATGGCGATTTATTCATTGGATTTAGTAATACCAGATGTTGCAAGTTCCTCTTTCCCTGAGACAATGAATAGAATTAAATATATTCAAAAAATTTCCTTCATTAAAGCGAAATCAATAAATCTCAAAACAATGAAAAAAGCATTTCGATTGAATTATAGAAATGTTCACATGATGCTGCAATATTTTGGGGAGATGTTTCATACAACAGTACCATAAAATGTAATGTTCTCAGCTAGTTGCTTACCAGTCTATCAAGAACATTATTTAGGGAATCCTGTTCAGGATATTTCTCATCATGCCATTTCTGAGCCAGATACCTTGCCCCATAGACTGAGTCAGTGGATGTCCAATGTACAAAGGCTTCCTCCCCATCTAGGAAAATCAACTGCAGAGAGACATCTAGAGCCTGAAATATGAATCACAATGTTAAATAATGTTAAATCTTAAATGTTAAATCTCCCAGTCTGATTCAATACAACTACAGTGTACTTCGTGATTATCCAAAATACTGACAAGATAATTAATGCTTTAATATCTAAAAATAAAGCTTAAAACATCAATAGGTACCTCGGAACAACCCACAATTACTGAAAGTCAGGATTTAAGAAATATTGTGTTTGTTTGTCATTAACTTGACGACACTCTAATTGACTTTTTGCATATTGGAACCATTATATATAATCTTACTGTTGCTGCATCCTTCCATATGGTATCATTCAGTGTTCGTGCAAGGTCTAACATCATAGCACATGGGACTGAAGAATCTGTAGCACCAATGAATTTAATGTTTCTGTAGTATTTTGAATCAAAATGACACACAAATGCAAGACGACGTTTAGCAGAGGGGTTCTGTGTGGCGACTATATTGTTGAATGGTTTATCGCCAAACGGAGTCTCAGCAGTAAAGGGGAATTCTTCTATACTCCATTTGAGCCTTTGCATTCTTTGCCGTATATGCTGAAAATAAAAAAAAATGTTTTAAAATTAAGATTAATTTCAAATCAAAATAATCTATCTGCCTTAAATGTAAATTATCTTCTTTGGTTCAGAAAAATCAATCTGGGGGAAAATGATGGTGAATCTGTTTCAGTAACATGATGGAAACAGGCCTGAATGTGACTTTTTGGAGAATTTTCTGTAAACATAATAGTGAATGTGATATCCAAATGTTGATTTTTAACACATTTTGAGGTGTTAATTGTAAGTGTTTATAGAAATATTAATTAAATAGATATAACAGTACCAGATATAATTGATCAAAAGAAGGATTCAAAAACACAAAAACATAGAGATATTAGATATAAAACTGTCAAAAATGCATATATCTTCAATATAACCCATGCTGCAAAGATATAAAATAGCAAATGAATGACAAGCATATTTGCAATGTAATATTATCATTCAATACCCTACGTAGTTATCAATCACAGAGAATAAATAACGTCTATGTATTGACCAATGATCAACCTCAGCTCAGGTTACTTCAATTATTTCTTATTTTCTTCCAATTAATTCCAACTCCAATACCAAGTGTATAATTGAATAAACAAAATTGTTTATACAGGAACAAAATAAAAGTATTCATTAATACTAGTGTTGTAATTAATTAACTGCATGGAGGAGTAAATATATCAACTTGTAAGGCGAAGGAATGGGATCAATACCAGTAGGGCTATATGTTGACACATGCCCCAGGATGCATACCCACAACCACAGAGCTAATGCCTTTTTTAAAGGGTGACGCATATCGTTTAGCAAATCGAATGCTCGTTTCTGGTGTTGCTCACCGTTTATTATAAAAGGCCCGATCCCGGAATAATACTCAAGGGTTCATAGGTTCGAGGTCGTTGTGTCAACACCTCTAACTGTTATATAGCATAAGTATATTATAGATCGTCACACATTTATAAAAGGGTGATTTTTATTTTGACAAATCAATTCCACATTTATGGGTGAAGTTTCAGGATCTTCTGTTTGTGTATAATAAGGAAAAATTGGCATCTAAATTTCCCCATAACGTAATAGCACACAGCTTGGCATATGAAATATCCTACAAATGAAACAAAGCAAGACAAACCGGTTTCTAATACAAGAATTTATATTGGCTGCTGTACATGTATTATTTGAACGCAATCACTCTTTGGATAACGTTTTCAAAATCATTATAAACGGATTACTTTATCTCAAAGACAATTTCAATAAACTGGATTTTACAGAACTCCCCTTATTTCTTAAAAATGGACTGATCCAGTTGATTCGCCTGGAGCCGCCATATTGTTTTTATACGGGATGCTAATCGGAACCCTTTAAAGACGGGGGCTATATTTTTGTACATGCTTTTTTGACCGCGAGCAAGGTTTTAATACTAAAAATGAGCTATATTGTGGTTTTATGTGTGTTATATCGCTGTGTAAAACAAATAAATATTATGCAACTGTATCAAATTTACTTGCACCACGGTCATTCGAAAATACGCCAGGGGTAAATGTCTAAAACATTTTTTAAGAAAACATGGTTTTTGAAGGTAACATTTTAAGAACAAACATTTAAAACAAAATAAAAATCAGATGAAAAAAGAAAGTCGAGGAGAGACCGTTCAAATGTAAAATCTCTGCAGTGATGTCAAAATATAAAATATGTATTCGTCAATATTTTTATACTTTAGCACATGCGTTGGATTTGCCATATAACTTGTTTAATCTATTTTCAAAGGATTTCATAAAAACCAAAACAGTATCTCTACAATGCCATATCAACCATTCTCTGATTGGTCCATTTCATACAAATAACCAAAAATAAGAAGGCGTACTCCCCACAGTATTCCCCACTCAAGAATCTACTTGTTACACTTTCAATGATTCTGCAAGGTATATAGCCAATAGCTCCTTGTGTTAAGCAAATACTCCTTAGTCCTTACTAGAATCATTGAAAGATGAACACGAAGATACCCCAGTTTAATGAAATTAATGTATAATATTTCAATATAAAAAGGAGTTGCAAGGCTACATGAAGCTTAATATGTGTTGCATTTCATTTCATTTCATTATAATAGAATGTTGCCTGTCATTTGTTACAGACACTTCAAGCTGACTGCCGAATACTGTCCAGAAAAAGTTGGGGACTATTAACAATATGTTACCACTTCTGGTGGTGACTGGTGACATAACCGAATAAGAATGAATCAAATCAAGCACTTATTAACTATAGTTGAAACTCTCTTTTAAGAAGCTTAAGAAGCAAAATCAAATCACTATATTGGAAATGGTTTCTATATCAATGAATCTAAATTACACTCAAGAAAATTAAAAATCAGTGAGATATGGCTTCCAACCTATTAGAGTGAGTGACATATTCAACTTTGAATTACACTAACTAATTGAATATCCTCCCCCATACCACACTTGACATTACAGATACTGTTTTACAAACATAACTTCAATGGTTAGTAACTATTGAAGTACCAATTGTAGACAGAGAAGATAAGAGGATTTCCTATCAATAACATCAACCTGATCATGCATTTTCCTCTCCGTTTCTCATTAAAATTTCATTCAAAAATTGATTCTTAAGATATATTCAGCACTCGGGTTATCTAATTTGTACCTATCTCTTCAATTTTTAATTCGAATTGTAGTGTCATTTTGAATTTCGAAATGTGGCTATCGTTAATTTTCTCGATGGTCTAAGAGTGCTTTATTTGTAATGGAAGCCACAGTGGGCAGAGGTAGAACGTGAACGTCACTCTCTGACCTCATAGATTGGAATTAATTCATGTTACTTATTAGATTTCAGCCTACATATGACACAACCTATGCCTACTTCATCAATAATTCAATCATTCTGATACTTTGCCGCCTCTTCAATTCAAACATGATGATAAAGGAATAGGTCACAGGCCCATAGCCAGAATTTTCCAAGGGGGGGTTCACTTTTCCCAAAAAATTCTAGGGGGGGTTCACTTTGGCAAATTTGGCCAAAAATCACTCAAAATGGTGAAAAACTGCATGATTTTGAAAGAAATTTTGGCAAGGGGGGGTTCGCCCAAACTGGCTACGAGCCTGGGTCAATACTGTACTCTGAATGTAGTAAAATCGCGAACATTTATCGTCGCGAAATTTTCCTTTTAAATCCCCGGGGATTTGACCCGGGACTTTTGATATTTTTCGTTCGGTGTAAAGCAATTCATCCAGTGTTGTTGGGCGATAATTAACATGGAGTATTGTTCAATTTTATATCAACAATTGATGTACTTGCTAAGCTCATGTATATGTAAAAAGGCATGTAAGTATATTAATATTATCAATATGGAGTTTACAGAGCTGGAAGAAGAAATTCAACTTGTGCAATCCGCGAAATGTCATCAACTCAAATCCACGAAATTAAATAGCCGCGAAATTGCAATTTTGAAAAATCGCGAAATTTTATAGCGTCAAAATTTACCAGGAGTACAGTATCTCATTTTGTCTTAAAACATATTTAATTATAATAAAAATTTCCTTAGTGTCAACTGAAGCTTTGCTATATAGTTTAGACAACCTTTGATATAGATTTAGTAACTAAGCTAGGAAATGGTATTTTAGGCCAATAAACACTACTACTCCCATCTATTTATCCCTCTAAACAATAAGTCCTCTATTGTGTTTCACACACATATTTCATTCTTTGAAAGAAATATCTTTGTTGTAGTTTTCACAAGTAATATTCCCCATTCCCAAAAGCTAGGACAAAGGGAATATCATTTAAAGTCACCTGAAAAATAATAAAATATTTGTTTTATTACGATCTGATAAGTTTCTTCAAAAATAAACCCATGTGTCTCTCAATGAACAGTAAACATCACGGGGAAATATCATAGGAAATTCTATGTCATGTGATACTTATTCAACCAATCAAACAAACAGTGAGAAAAGAATTCCTCCAGATTCAGGAAAGGCATCCCCTCAATAGTAAGACACTATACTAATTAATATTTTTGATTTTCTTAAATGTCGCACAACATACTTTTCAGAGAATGAGTTCGTTAAGAGGATGATTCAAAGTGACTGGCTCTATTGCTGCAATTTTTCATCATGAAATAAATGGGTTTAGTTGACACAAAGCACTTTGTTTGTAATAGATTGAGCAACTAAGCTGGAAAGGATTAGCTTACTTAGAACATGGCTTAGAACAAGACATCTTGATCTATAGAATGCCTTGACTTTTTGTTATTAACATCATTTTTTGATTCCTCATCATGTCAGGATATGCTTAAAACTAATTCCAGCATATTTTTGCATTATGATCTTTCAAATAAGAAAACATAAAGGGCAATATTTGAAAATAAACCAAACCTCTTTAAATCATACTAAACTAGAGCAGATCATCAACTTTTGGCAAAGAAATCAACAAAAAACAGAATATATTTGTTTTTATTGAAAGAGCAACCCATGAAAGTTCCACTAATAAAGGAACAAGGAAATAAGATTCATATCCATGATAATTAACCTGAGTGAAAAGACTTAGTCCCACACTAGATATAGACTGAGGTCTCTTAAAGAAGCTAATAGCCAAATGAATATAAAAGGGTACATGACAATATACGGTATCTATAATAACAGGTCTCAGAATGATATTCCTGTTCACAAGGAGATCAATTAATAACACGCCAGTTTCTATCAATATGATCAAAGGTTATGAAAATCCATTATTAGTTATACGCTGTATTACATCACGTCGAGAGCGAGAGCTCTTCAATTTGTCATAAGTATAAGTGCTCATCCATAACTCTTTCAAGTTCTATGTTCTAAAATTCTATTTCATCATGCATGTTGGTTTCAAGAAAGCAAACATCATGAAATCAGCACTCAGAATGACTATGTGTATCAATTGCTGACGCAATGCAATTACTTTACACAATTTTCCAGGAATAAACTGTTTATAATGAACACCCACAAATTATTTTTGCAAGATCATAAAGG